TCAGCGGTATATGCTAGACTGGCCAACATAAGAACGTCCTTTAGAAACTTGTGTAACGAATCAATAAGAACCTTGTATATCACTTATGTTAGACCAATCCTGGCGTATGCAGCTCCAGCCTGGAGTCCACACCTAGTTAAACACAAGACAAAGTAAGAGAAGATTCAGGGTATGCTACCAGATTAGTCTCATAACCGAGAGGTATGAATTACGAGGAAAGGCTACGGGAACTAAACCTCATGTCCCAGGATGACAGAAGAGTTAGAGGAGACATGACCAACACCTACAAATTTGTTAAGATGAATTGACAGGGTGGATAAACTATTTAGCACGGGTGTAACACGAACAAGACAACACATGTGAAACTGAGCACCCAAATGAGCCACAGAGACATTAGAAATAATTTTTTGTGTCGGGTAGTTAGCGATTAATGTTCACATCACTGCACATAAAGGCAGTGATGTGGCGGAGGCAGACTTCATACACAGTTTCAAATAGATATGATAGAGCCCAGTAGGCTCAGGAATCTGTACACCAGTCAATTGACAATTGAGAGGTGGAACCAAAGAGTCGAAGGTCAATCCCCGCAAGCATTAGGTAAATACACACACAATTCCCAAGATGTAGTCCGTAGCAGCTGTCTCAACTCCCAGGTACCTATTTATTGCTAGGTGAACAAGAGAATCAAGAAATCTGCATATTTGTTTCTGCCTCGACCGGGAATCGAACTAGGGCTCTTAGGACTCCGACCCACGAGCAAGTGTGCAGGTGTGCGCCCGCGCGCGAGCGGCTCAATTTCAATAACTGTTGATGGTCATTATACATTTTTGCTCAAACTTAAGTATTCCAATTAAGTTTCCAGTCCAGATGACAAGACGCTGTAGAAACACTGAGAGGAAAGAGTACCGAGGAAGACAAAACATGACAACCACAAGGTATCCACACCGAGGGTTCCTAATGTTAATCAAAGCCTCATTCAATATTTAACAAATACTTATAAATCATTAACTATTCACAAAGGGTAAATACAACAAATACGGAATGTGTGTGTGTGTGTGCAACATTGCTAATATTAAAGATGGAGAAATAAGGAAGGAGGAACACGAAGATTAATAATCTAGAGTTGGGGTAAGAAAATTAATAATGTGGAGGAAGGAAGGAAGGAATGGTGTGAGAAAACCTCAAGACTTGGGCGGCTCATCCAAGCTTGTCTCCCCGACCCGCCTCCCCCTAGCGGGCGGGCGAGCCATGTCCACCAACACACACTTCTCACTCGTATTTTACAAATCACAATATTTCACACCATTAGAAACTAACAAGAAACACAAGAACCGCGTGAACAAATATATTGCACATCTCTAAATTTACCGCCATTTATTAAGAGGGTTTGAGGTACCACGGAAGTAATTCGGCCAGCGGATACCGTTGGCATCCCTGGCGCGGATGCCGGCGCGGGAGAAAATTCGCCAACTATCCTGGAGGAATGGCGATTATTGGAAATTGGCGCGTCTTTGCCCAGGCTGGGAGGGATCTGACGCTATTATTGAGTCCATAATAGGGTCCCCGCGGTCACACTTCTTTGACCTAGTTTGCGCCAACAAATTGGATAACAATGCTCTCGTGATAGTATTACGCGAACGCTTATCAAATCTTTTTTTTTCTTTAATATTTACCTTAACCAGACTCGGTAAACACAGCTGTTTTGATAATACTTTGGAGAATAACATACAAATTGTATATTCATGGATAGCACTAAACAAGTGGTAGCCGGCACTAAAGTGGTAGCCGGCACTAAAGTGGTGGTCGGCACTAAACAAATGGTGGGGAAAACTTAAGCAAGTGGTGGCCGACACACACAATCAGAACAATAATCAATAGCTATAATTTTAGATCACTTTTTATTCAGGAAAGACCTGGGTGGGTAAACACTGGTTTGGAAACAGAGTTATTTATTTGTGGAACAAATTACCGGGTAACAATCAGCATATGAATATTTCAGTCATGACTCGGACCTTTCTCGCATTCAGATTTTATAATTTCAAGTGCCCAGCCATATCTAGTAACTATTACCATTACTTAATATCAGACAGGACCTCAACCACTTTAGCTGGACGGTAGAGCGACTGTTTTCCTTCATGCAGGTCAGCGTTCAATCCCCGACCGTCCAAGTGATTGGGCACCATTCCCCCCCCCCCGTCCCATCCCAAATCCTTCTCCTGATCCCTTCCCAGTTCTATATAGTCGTAATGGCATGGCCCTTTTCGTCCAAAAAAAAGTTACAGCCCCGCTCCTGTGCCAGGCAAGTCCACAACGGGCTCACCATAGCCTGTACTACTTGGAACTTTTTGTTCAGAGTAGCTGAATCTAAAACGACAACGCTTTTCCTTCATAATTCCTTCCTACCTTTAGACAGGACCCTCTACATTTTGTGGGACCTCCATGCGATGGGACCTCCGTACGTCGCGTGGGACATTCCTCATGCCATGTGTCACATTCCTTCTGACATGCAGGACCTTTCTTGGGACGTGTTAACCTCCTCTTGACATGTGGGGACCCCCCCTACTGACATGTGGGGGGACCCTCCTACTGACATGTGGGGAACCCCCCCCCTCCTACTGACATGTGGGGAACCCCCCCTCCTACTGACATGTGGGGGACCTCCCCTACTGACATGTAGGCACCCCCCCTACTGACATGTGGGGACCCCCTATTGACGTGTGGGACTGATGAATCGTTCAGACAGCAGCAGTAAGTGGAAGCTTCTACACAGGTCTTCATTTCTTTCATGCAAATCAACTAAACTTTTGAAACGACGGCACTTTCCTGCCCCTCTCCTACCCCTCCCTCTCCCCCTCCCCTCCCTCGTTTCGTCTCCCTCTTTCCTGGCCTTCCCTCTTAACTACCATGCACTGCTCAACACAACACTTCCTGTGTACAATTATCCCTCTCCTTCAAATGCACGTACAGTATACACGAGCACATACATGCATGTAAGCAACGCACAACCATAAAAATGATAGTGCATTTAAAGCAAAGAAACAACTGAATTTACAACATATTATGAAGGAAAATTACAATGAATAAGTGATGAGACAACCGACTACCTACCCTCATCTCATCTACACACACACACACACACACACACCAGCATGGGTTCAACACTATGACACACAACCAACATGAGTTCAAGATGGCAAATCTTGCCTCACAGGTTTAATAGAATTCTATGACCAGGTGACAAAGATTAAGCAAGAAAGACAAGGTTGGGCAGATTGTATTTTTTGGATTGTCGGAAAGCCTTTGACACAGTACCTAATAAGAGGCTGGTGCGCACCTATCCTGTTGGAGAAACAGGGAAGAGTAACTGGTAGGGTGCTCCAGTGGATAAGGGAGTACCTGAGCAATATTAAGCAGAGAGATACTGTAAGGGGTAAGACCTCAGAATTTATTTATTTATTTATTTATACAAGAGTTCTTGTACATTCAGTTCTGTACATTCTTGTACAGCCACTAGCACACGTAGTGTTTCAGGCAAGTCCTTAATCCTATGTTCCCCGGAATACGACCCCGCCAATTCTTTTAACAACCTGGTACCCATTTTACTGTTAGGTTAAACAGAGGCTACAGTTAAGGATTTGCACCCAGTAAATCCTCCCCGGTCAGGATATGAACCCAGGACAAAGCGTTCGTGAAATGCCAGGCAAGCATATTACCACTACGCCACGGGGACTGTATGTGAAGCCACCAGCAAAGTCCCACAGAGTTCCATACTCGCACCTATCCTGTTTCTAATACTGTATGTGTAAATGATCTTCCAGAGGGTAAAGACTCATTCCTCTCAATATTTGTTGATGATGCCAAAAGAAATACAGTTATAGACAAAGACATACGGTTACATAATATGGAGACATGCCAGCATATGGTAAGAGCAGACACACAATAAGAACAACTAGTCAGAACCAGACTGACACAGAACAACTCCAGAGCTCTGCTTGTAGAAGCTTCCTCACACCAACCCACCAGGCACCCAACGTCTACCCACCTTGTAACAGAGCATCTAGAAATCTGCCCCATCTCTTTTAATTATGCAAATGTGTGAATCTTAGAACAAATGTAAAACAAAAATAAGAACAAGTCTAGTTCACAAGTGTTATTGTGGGATATAGAACAGAGGAAGGTTGCAGTCAGTCTACGCAAGTACAGTAATCAAATTTCACCCAGATGGATCCTCCATGTTCGGCTCATCTGTCAGCCTTAATCAAAAACACATTTGTCATGAGGTCAGGATCACTATCAGTTCAGCACCTAAAGTTTTGGAAGATTGCAATTGGTTGACCCCGATTGGTGCATTCTTAAAGGGGTGGAGTCTATTTTTCTGTCTTAAGTCATTTGTGGATAAACCACTAGTGTGTGTGTCTGGACTTAGTCTCTACGGGCAGATGGAGTGTTCGATCATGAAGGCATAAAATTAAGGAACTGCCGTGAATATTGCTGGTGAAGGCTGTCCTGATAATTTCCAAGTTATTCAGTGAGCACCTTTGCCCTGTAAACCAGATTCATAATTTATTAACTGTACCCTAATCCTTTGATAGAATAAGTTAACAATTAGGATGTTTCAAGATTAATATAAAGTGTCTTTAAAATGTACTCAACTTTGTTGTCTGAAAGAATTCTCCATTGTCCCAATAACTCATTATTCAATAAATTATACCGTGTACAGTATCTGCTTAGCTTACACACATTTGGTGGTTCCAAAGTTCAGCTTAAGAATTGACTGAAGCGTCTCTTTTACAAATAAACTATACACAAATATCAACTATACATAAAAATACACTTTACATAAAGAGATAATATATATACAGCATACACACACATCACTTGATGTCTCTTGTGTCACTTTTATCCATCTCTTTCTAAACTCAACTGGCTTTTTGTCTATCAACAAATAATGATTTGTGTTTCCTGTCAAGCTAAAAAGTAATAATGCATTTTCTCCTCAGAAAATGGGTGATGCCAACAGCCTGAACTACTCGGACCTGACTGAGAAGGACGTGGACGAAGTGGTGGCTTTTATGGCTAAGCACTTTTATCCAAGAGAACCCATAGTAAGTTCATACCTTCAATACTTAAATAACAATCTAACTCTTTCACTTTTGATCTTTCTATACATTATTAAACCTTATATTTTCAGACAACAATATCCTCAACAAAGTTTCCAGAGGGAATATGGTATCTTGGTACCAGTTTAAGAATAAGTTACTAGTATATTTAATACTATTGTAGGTGCCTTGTCCCTATTGCTGCCACCACAGATGGTGGCCCAAAGGTAAATTTAAGTAGAGTTGAACCCATACAAAAATTAATATGGTTAACACATAACTAGTTCCAAAGTACCATCAGGAGAAAACAGCTTCAGAGAAACAGCCCTTTTTAAAACACACAAGAGATCACACTAACGTGATGCATCAAATGAACAAATCTACAAGGGCCGTGACGAGGATTCGAACCTGTGTCCAGGAGCATCCCAGACACTGCCTTAATCGACTGAGCTACGACAGGGTTAAAAGGGTTGAAACCGAAGTTCTACTAAACTTACTGGATCCCGTAGCCTCTTCGAGACACAAACCAGGATTTCCACCCTTTTAACTCTGTCGTAGCTCAGTCGATTAAGGCAGTGTCTGGGATGCTCCCGGACGCAGGTTCGAATCCTCGTCACGGCCCTTGTGGATTTGATCATTTAGCCCTTTTTAAAGTATAATTCTATTACATGAAGTTAAAATGTTACATGTTAAAACAATAAAAACAATGCACTTCACATTATTATGAGAACCTTCCGTTTTTATAAACTGCTACAGGGAAGCTGATGAGCTTAAATCAGTACAGTACAGTATATTAATTGACCAAAAGGCTTGGATGTGTGCCAAAGGTCATAATTTAGTATGATTACTATTATGATAATTGTTTAGTTATAAAAGATCCTAAAGTTTTACTAAGTGTTATGAGTTCCTAAAATACCATAAGATTAATATATTCCAAACTATATATAAAAGGAGATGAGCATTACCTGTGTTCCATGTATAGTACTATTTTTGTATTCTCAATCTACTATACGAAACCTTTCTGCCATCCCCAATAATACGAACTGCTATACTTCTGCTGCCCATGCATCATCATCTATCACTACTGCCTCCAGTAATTAGATCTCTCTACTAAAGACCATCTTTGAATGTAATGAAAGACCTCTTTTTGGTGGGTCCACTGTGGCTCCCTGTTGCTAGTCACTCTGGTTAGCTCCTAGCCTATCCAGTCACACCAGGCCTGCACCCCCTACTCACAGAGGCAGAGAGAGCATGGGATCAGTGATCACCTCGCTGTGGTAGCAGCCACCAGAAAAGTAGGGCAAGACAAAACAAACAACACTAAGGGTAGGCAACAATTCAGCAAACGATTTGCACAGTAGTTAAGTAGTACACCCTCTAGTTCCAACTGCCCACCACCAGGTTGTAGCACTGGAAGGTCATCAATCTGCCAGTGAGCCACCTCAGTCAAGAGCCACCCAAAAAGGAAAAATGATCTCGCTTGGAAGGGGAAATGGAAAGTCCAGGGAGCTACCTCAGATCCACCAGAAAGAGCCGTTTCATTACTTTAATGCAAATTTTCTAGAAGGGTTCTGAGGTAATCCCTGTTGTTATTTCACTACATAGAACAAAAAGGGAATTGCACCAAGGGAGGAAGAGAGCAGAAATCCCCAACCCCAAATGAAGTGGAATCAGCAACAGGAAAGAGCTGTAACAACTTTGATAACACCAGGTGATTGACTGAGGTGGCTCACTGGCTGACCCATAAGCTTCTGGTGCTACCACCTGGTGATGGTGGTGGTGGGCAGCTGGAACTAGAGGGTGAATTACCTAACTTCTTGGGATATCGTTTGCTGAATTGTTGCCTTACCATGCTGTTGTATGTTTTGTCTTGCCCAATCTTTCTGATGGCTGCTAACGTGTTGAGGGTGATCACAGATTCCCTCTCTGCACCTCAGTGATGGGGTCCAGGTTTTGACCTCTGGTCCCCTGGAAGACTGTTATTGACTCGCAAGAATTTGGTGTGACTAGATAGATGAGGAGCTAACCATAGCAGCTAACAACAGGGAGCTACATCAGAGCCCTCCCAGACACAGTCAACATTGACAAGCAGGATAATTCATTATTCAAATGCAGGCAATGAGTCACAATAACGTGGCTAAAGTATGTTGACCAGACCACACATTAGAAGGTGAAGGGACGACGATGACGTTTCAGTCCGTCCTGGACCATTCTCAAGTCGATTGTGATCAACAACGATAGTTGACTGATCAACTTCATTATTCAAAGTAAATAATATGCAGTGTTTCTAATATTATTTGTACCACAATACTATTTGTTTTATGTAATGTTTTGATAGTTCAGGAATGTGTCCCTTATTTATAGCTTTGCACCTATGGGAAATGTGGTAAAGTTCTGAACTGTATTCAGCTTTAGTTTATGAACATAAATTATCAATGCGGTATACAAAATAAGCATGCTATTTAATCTGCCGCCAGAGTACAGGACTGCACATGACATATGAAGACAACAAAGAGTGGATCCACGGCTCCGTGCGAGACTGGGTGAAGAATGGAGTGTCAGTTGTGGCACGAGAACCGGATACTAAAGCAGTTGCTGGAACCATCATTGCCACAATACTCACCAGGGATCAATCCAACACTTATGAGCAGGCTCTCACGAGTCCAAAGACCAAGGTAAGCACCAAAGGTCAAATTTTATGTTAAAAATGTTAAAAAAAAAGTTAGGAATGGAGCACTACTGAGTGGCTCACCAGAAAGAGGCTCTTCATTACAATCAATGCTGGATTTCCGAGAAGGTCACCCGAGAAAACAGAGTACTTCTGTTTTCAGAAAGAGAACAGAAAACTTCTGCTTTGGGCTAACCCATGTGAGCAGAAGACAAAAAGACAGGCCAAAAGGCAGCACAAGTCTCGGGCCAAACAGCCAACGCTACAGTAGTGATGGGACAATTAATTGGAACTGGTATCGAGAATTGGAAGAATCGTTAATTTTCAACACTAATTGGAAGCTTTGTCGGAATTGAGAGAAATTTATTATGGTTTTCAAGTCTTAAAAAGATTTTATAATATTTAATAACAAAATTAATTATTTTTCAGAAAATTAAGCTAGATTTACCAATTGTTTTCTATTCTTAAATCAATTATCAGTACATTTACCATGCTCAATGTAAATCAATGATAATTAAATATTTCGACCTTTTGACGGCAGAAAAAAAGGCAGCAGTAAGGGAAGAGTGAACCTTACACAAGTATTCAAAACAAACCACTCAACTACCTCAATGGACAACAGTGGTTCCACCGCCCTACTATCAGGGTTTGAAAGGGGCTGCTAAGAAGTGTGACTGCACTGCAGCTTATGCCTAGCAAGTTGCCAATCAGAAGGGTGGCCTGGTTAAAACAGAAGACCAATGGTCAGAAATTTCCTATACCTAAGAGTACAAGGATTTCTGAACTCAACAGGCAGAATGACAGACACATCAAGAATGACTGTTGGAGGTCAAGAGCACCAACTCTCACTCGGAAAAAAACTGCACCCAGCAGTTTCAGGCTTAGAGGTAGGCAAAGCCATGCTCATCTGTCAAGCATGACCCTGAGGAGAGAACTGGTTATACAATTGTCAAGAAGTGAGCAGGTAGGTTGGGTGCATGGAATGTCTCCTTGGTAAAGCACACACCAACTCCACACCTTTACAGTGTGGAAAAATACAATGTACCCCGAGAGTAAGATGTGAAGTAAGAGCAAGAGGAGAATGCTCTAAGAGGAGGCAGTCTGAACCCCGCACAAAAGAAAACCCTGGAGTAGTAAGGGAAATACAAACTAGCTACGAACTGTCAAGACAAAGGACATACAAGGTGGCTGGCAAAGAACATACACAAAGCAAAAACAGAGCAATACCAATCAATAGTCCTAAATGGAACAACTGTTTCAGGTATAGCCATCACCTCTTAAATTTGAAAGGTGACAATGGGCCCAACAGAACGATGTGTTCCAGTCATATTCCAGGCTAGTGAATGGGGTCGCTGGCTGGTTGGCCAAGACCCCTTGATCACTGAGGTTGCTATCTGGTGGCAGACAAGTGTATCAGATGGTGATATTGCTGCAATAACAATTGCTTGTATTGTTGTCATCAGAGCTATAAGTTTTTCCAAGTATTTGCTCATTTTGGAGCCTTTTGGTTTTCTGGTGCAATATTCTTGGTTCTGTGATGATCTCTGATCTCCAGTCTTCTTTTTGCCTCTTTAAAAGTGTCAGATTCTAGTCCTGGTTTTCCAAGTAGGCCTCATGGGCTGTAAGAGGCCTGGTGTGTTCCTTATGAGTTCCAAGAGTTACTAAGTTGCCTTCTTAAATTTAATCATAGTGTATTTTTATATTTGAGCCTCATTTCTAAAAACAGTAATTATCAAAAGAAAGTGCTAAACTTGAAAAACTACTGTAAAGACCATTGCCTGTGTTACAGAATGTGCAAGAGTTCCAAAATATCAACACAAGAACAGAAAAACAAGATGATTAAAGCCAAATGGAATCGGATTTGTCAATAGACTTTATCAATAGACATACGACTCAAAGGAACAGTGGGAAGACAAAATTTTTCACCTCCATGAAAATCAGGACATTCTACAGGAAAATACAGTACATGACTGATAGTGGATAGCCTCAAAAGTTTCTTTTCCCATTTTCAGGTGAAAACACTACACAAAGTGCTGTCAATCTTGGAAACAGCTGTGGACTTTTTTTCTCGCTATGAGAAAGTTGATCGTATACTAGAGTTAGCCATGATAACTGTATCGGAGAAATACAGTGGTCGTGGAGTGGGCCGGAGGCTTGTGCAGGTGAGATTTGTGTCTATTAATGTACAGTGCAGTCCAATTACCTGTTTGTGTAATTGTATACAGGCATTATTCCCTCCCCTCCCAGTTTGCAATTATCCTCATCATTTTGAAAACAAAAGTTATTTATAAAGTGGCATTTTTTAACTTGACAATAGGAGTACAGTTTTTGCAATTTCATTACTGCTTGGTTTAGCTTCTATATATTAAAAGAAAAATGTTAAATTCTTGCACATGTGTACGAGTCTACCAATAATTACTTTGTGATCCCCCCCCCCCCCGTCTTGCTTCCAATGTACCACTAGACATATATTGTCTCCTTTCCTTAATCATCTTTAACACAACTCTGCTTCTTGATTTTAATTCCAAATGCAGTACTGTATTACTTTTATTTACCATACAGAGCATCATAATCAGCAACAGCTGCTGAATGGGCTCTTGTAATACAATGCAACTACATTTATTATTACAAGTAAACACAAATTTAAATTGGTGTGACACTATCGGTATCTGAAATTGTCAGTGCCTCTCCAGAGGATCATCGCCACAGCCAAATGTATTTGTAATTAATTGCATTTCATTAAATGGCTGATGGTGAGCTTGAGTGGAATCAAGAGAATAATAATAATTCCTGTTGCTGGTTTCCTGTTCCTGGCAACAGGAATTATTATTTTTATCTTTATAAGAATTAGGACTTTTGGTACAAGTCCTGCCAGACACCGACAGGACTGAAAAAGCAAATATTTACAATTTTAATTTTTTTTTAATACCAACTCGATGATTGTATTTAAGCTTGTAAAAACTTGTTTCCCATTCAGTACTGTCTACTTGCAACTGTGTGCTGATTTATTAGTATCAAGAAGCACTGCCATGATCTATTGCTGATATTATTAATCAAGTGTACTGAAAACTAAGTTACCAAGCATGTTTGTATGCCAATGTTAGATGCATTGACACATTAAAGTACTAAGTCCACTAGAGACATTGCCATAACTGTGTGTAACTAGTTACTGCAAAAAATGTCAAAAATTTAACCACGTACCTGAAAGTTTAAGAGAGTCAAGATATAGACAGAGGCTGTTATAAAACAAGACCAGTGTTTACAGAAGCAACAGAGCATGTATGATGCACCTGTAGAGATCATTCATGTGAATGATGACCAAAAAAATACGAAGTCCTTCAATAAAACCTCCTGCATTAATTATATGGTAACCAACACTAAAAATTGACAAGTATCATTTAGACAAGATGGCTGTAAAAACATTTATATTTTAATTGATTGCTCTCAATTGCTATTTGTTATTTTCATTTCTAGCAGTATTAAAATGGATACTATTTGTTTTCATAAAACCTATGATAAGGAAATAATATTATGGCAACAGTGGTTTGTGTGAAGCTTCTCAAAATATCAAAGAAAATGCAATAAATATAACACATGAAAAGCATTCCTCCTCCAGGATAGCATATCGTCACTCTTTTCATGTTCTCAATCTTGGTGGTATTTAGTTAAGACTATAAATAAAATACTCCTTACACACCCAATTTTACACATTAAATTATTATTGAACCTTCTTCATCATGGTCACACACACAGTATCTTTTAACAGGAGAGCGAGCGCCGAGGCAGACTCTTCGGATGCACACTAGCCACCGCACAGGCCACAGCGGTGCCTTCACAGCGACTCCTGTATCGTCTGGGTTACGAATCGCTCTATACACTGGACTACGCCACATTTGAGATTGCTGGTGATCGTGTGTTTGACATGGACAAGATGTTGGGAACGCCTTCTGCTAAAGTTATGGCTCGGCTCATAGATGAGAGCGTTGACAAATAATGACTTTGCCAGACTACTAATTGACAGTACTGTAATCAATATACATAATGCATGTTACTGAAGAAACTTCACATAGCAACTCTTGCTAATATAATATGCCTTATAATTTAAAAAAAACTATCCTAGGCAGCATATAGACGAGTGTCCATAAGCATACAATATATTTTACATAAAATTCAATGTGTCAATGAAAGAATTTTTGTTTTTCCCCAAGAATTCCAATATAGTACTGGGCCATCACATGGAATATTCAAAACAAAGTTCAATATTGGCAGTGGCCAATGTGCAAAAAGAAATATCTTGCTCCTTCTGAAATTAAAACGGCAAGTTTTTAAAACTGATTTTCCAAAATTAATAAATTTCTAACACTGAAAACCTGATTACATCAGGACACTAACTCACATTTCATACACAGTACTGTAATGGAAATCTCATTCAAAGGTTTTAAAAAAATTCTTCACTAATCAATATTTTTTTGTAAATTTCCTTTCTTGATGATAGTATTAACTGCTCTCTTTCCCTCTAAAGATGGTTGTCATCACTCTAATGCTCCATCTCATCTATCCCACACTTACTATTTAATATTAATAACCTTACATATTGTCTCTAATCTTGCAGAGATAATTCAAACCTGGCCTAACTAACTTTCAACTTGCAACAGCATAAACATTTTCAGTCTCGACAGTACCTTACTTCACCTCAAAACTTTAAAAAACAGCTACTAGATTTCCTTTTTTTCTCATTATTCTACAAAACCTTAAAACTGAAGTGAGATTCAACAGTTCATTTCAGTACATTATTTTTCCCAATGTTCCTTCAACTTAAGCAGTCATACTCTACTATTGAATGGTTAAAAAAAAAAAAAAGCCTTCAGTGTGTATAATTTCTGGTACATATACTATAAAATGGACGACATAAAAACTGTTGGGCTTCCAAGTGTATGCAGTTGATACCGACAGTCTCGAGAGACTGCAACTCACCATATAGCAAGCATGCAGTCTGCATTTACATATATAAGCTCAGCATTATCATGTTAAAATACATAACATTGCATGAATTTTTTGCAAATATTCTTCTGTTATTTGTAATACTTATATACAAGTTATTTTTATGTACTGTACTTTTAGTGTAATATAATATTAACCGTGTATATTACCAACCAATTTCTTCATCAAATACTGTATAAAACTGTTATGGCTATGTACAAATCTTTATTTTTTAACTTTATGTTATTAAAGTCACACAATTTAAATTCACAAATACAGCTGTCTCTGTATTTGACCAGGTCTTAATTTGTGACTAATATTTTTGTGACATAATACTGTACTGTATTTGCATACATCTTGAATGATGCTCTTCTTATTAAGCTAATGCTTCTGATGCCATCATAATATATTTCTCAATATCTTTGAAATACAGTACACGGTTGTGTAATGCATGTCATCCTTGGCCTTGTTCACCTTAAGCAAGTCTGATACTGTATATGACTTCCGTAACCAGCACTCAAGTGCTGTATATTGATCATAAAGACTGCTATATGATCACTCACAACTCTAATAATTTCAAATTAAAGAAAATCCTTCAAACTGTGGAGATTAAGGGAATATGCACAAGTATCAAATGAATATAGTACAATAATGCCAAGGTACAACAAATTCTGCAGTTCCTAGTATTCAATGGCACTTGTCATAGCAATAAGTCAAACTTCTTAAAATATTTCTACACATTAATTACTACAATAGCCAAATTTTTTTAATACTGTAGTTATTAAAACAGGTATAGTACTGTACATCTTTTGCTACCTATGTATTCCCTTATTTTAGCACAATGTTCAAGTTAAAAACCAGGCTTCTAGTACTGTCTATGTAATAGCACATTTCCAAGCAGTACATTTGTTCTCAGAGGCGAGGTCCTACTGACCCTTCATTAGGACCCGACACAGTCACTGTACGTTGACATTCTATACAGATTCGGGAGAACTTTTCAAACTGTCCCCCCACCAAGTTATTTGGTGCTAGGGAAACACAGGAGAATATTCACGCCCATTTTAAATGTAGATAAATACCATTTACATAATTCTAATGTCTTTCCATATAGTGTCCTAGCTTACTGTTGAATGACTCACTAGGTCACTAACACACAACAATGATAAAACAATAAAGCTCCCAAACCCAAACTTTCTGCATTCTACCAGAACCACAGGTTAGGAAACTATCCACACCAATCACGGGAGACACAGGAAAATGACGGGTGGGAACAGGAGCAACTGAGCATACTGCTTAGAAAAATTATTTTCATTGTTCTGTAGCAGAAAGCAATCCCCAGAATCTGTAACCCCATATAAAGGTCAAATTTTGTGAACAAATCAGGTCTACAAATCTGAATCAGCTCTGGACTTGTGAAAGTAAGTGCTGAAAAAGTCAAATTGACTCAATAAAGTAATTTCTAATTGATTATAATTTGTCACTATATTTTTACTATTCTTGTATTTTTAGTGGTACAGTACAGCACTGTAAAAATTATTTTATTTCTTGTTAGAGTTAATATACTGTGCTTTAACTGTGGTATAAATTGTACAAAACAGTTTGTATGAGTGGCTAAATTGTAATGGTTGGCCCAATACTGCCGATGGCGAACACGTTCAGACCTGTTATCACCATGAGATTACAGCACTTGCTCTCTGCTGACACTATATTCTTTCTTCTTAATCAGGGGATTTTCATGCATTTTTTTTAATACAGTATTTAATTATTTGAATAGAAATGATGACTGCTGACAAGAATAAGCATGACAGATTGTTTATGAGGAACAAGAGGTGACATTCATTCATTCAATAAACATTCCAGGGTAATAGAATGTTTATTTCTATGGAAGTGTGGATGGCAATTTATACTAAAGGATGCTATTAATTTATGATCATATTACTTTTTGAATATATGTATAAGGCTAGGGAAAATTATAAAAATATACACAATGGTGTGTGTTGAATGTTGTGCTCATCACTGGGTCTGGCCAGTGACTGGATGGGTGGTTATGCACATGGCCTCTCCATTGGTTAAAGGGGATCTCTCACTAAGCCCGTCCCTGGCCTCAACTTACCATATATATACAGTAGTATGGTACAGTATATCATACCATATATAGTATTTTTATGTTGAATGTAATACATTATGTTAAATAATGTATTAAAGATGTAGTTAAATATATACTGCCTGACATGTCATTAGCATAATTCTTATCCTTAATTCCTTTTTTCAGACAAGATGCTAAACTGTTCAGTACAATGAATTCTTTCAGTGCTATGAAATATAGTTGATATTAGCCTTACAAATCAAAACATACAATATAGACACCACCTGTTTAGAACAAGGAATAATTTCCTAAAACCTGAAGCTAACCGAGTCAGCATTACACTTGGTAATTATGCTTTGTTTCTATGGAGACGGGTTCCTGACTTTAGCTTATTACCTATGATTATCACGTTATAGTTTCACTGGGCAAATAGAATAACTATACATAATTTTATAAATTTTGTACATAATGTATACTGTACAGCACACGCATATACTTTATATAAATATTAGGCGTTGGGCATACCCAGAGTATTTTGCATCCGGGGCAGATCCTTTGGCACTTCCCCCACCCCCCATTAATAACTAACATGTAAATACACAGCTAGTTCCCTTGGCACCCTTCCTTGTAAATACAGTAATATAAAAATATATACTGAAAAATATATTCTGAAAACAGTACTGTATTTTGTTTAGAAACTAATTTTTTATATTTTTTATAACAAATTAAAAATGCTTATATGTAATGATTCATGTTTCATTTAAATTTGTTCAGCTTTAATAAAGAATTACAGTACCACTATCAGTTAATGTTAAAAGTAATATAACTTAAAAAATAAAACCATTAATTGTTATAAACACACGGCTTGAATTTTGAAAAGTGTGCCATGTTGCAAACAAGGCCACGTCGGCTCGAACAAAAAATTTCTTAAGTTTGCCAAAATTTTCATTTGGTTATAAAACTTGTAGTGACATTACAACTCTCTCATCAGTACCCATCTTTTGACTGTCACCTGTAGCAGAACATCCCCGTCTCCTCTCCCTAGTATGCCACTGCCAAGTAGTAAATGATATACTGTGCCCTCTTCTGGGTGATCTCTCAGTAGCTTTCCCAAGATTTGGCAGCTGATACCATCATGTCTTCAGACCATACCAACTCTCTGAGACTAACATAAACCTATTGGGAACCTAGTGATTATCTTAGTGCAATTGAGGTTAAGCATGACAATTTGTGTTGATTAGTTAATGTGTAACTGTTCTCACCTCTGCTCAAAGTACGATCTCAGAGTTGCATCTGTCTTTCTGAATGCCAATACATACATTCAGGAAGTCATAATTTATATATTTCCATCCAATTCATTTGTTGTAAATCTCACCATGGATTTTATTAAAAACAATTAAATATCCAGCCCAAACCCAGCTTTATAGGTGAGGGATGAATAACAGGAGCACAATTTCTAAACAGGTAAACCTTTACTAAACATACACCAATCCAAATGAAAGACCAGGACCATAAATTTAAATTCCCCCACTCGTCTAGTCAAACCTATCCCGCCAGTCCACAGCCAACACGTCTTATGTTCGATATTTTGTCCTATTTTCAGGACCTGAAAGAACCTGCAAAGCAAGGGCAACAAATTTTCTGATACACAAAAAATTAAATTTACTGTACCGTTAGCATTAAGAGCAGCAGTTTCAAGCGGACCCATCCAAAGGTAACGGTATGCCAGTCCTTCCTTCATCATGACGTCCACATCCTCAGCAGACAAAACTCCACTTTGTACCAAGTTGTTGCATTCATTCAAAATGGCATACCTGCAAACAGGAAAACATATTAACACATTAAAGTATGCACATCCTTTCAAAATAAATGTTAATGTCATGCTTGTGCAGCCCACATCCAAATTTAGGGAAATTAGATTAATAGGAGCACCTCCAAAATCTGTAATGTATTGTACCATCATTCATATCTAAGTAAAATGAACGAGCTGCAGAGCTGGCCACACTATGCTCAACAGGCAAAGTGTGCGGGGTCAGATGAAGAGGACCCAATCAACGGCCCTGAAAGTCATGGTCAGAGTTGGTCATGAAACCCTAGACCAAGGTGTCTTTAACAGATCGAGTGTGATGGGGGGAGGTACCATGGGACCGAACCCTGAAAAGCCTGTAGTAGAAAAACAGTGAGCAAGAAGCTACTGAAGAGCAAATAGAATACATATTAAAGTACTAAATAAGATTTACGGAGTAAACAGGGCAGCCATACACTGCCCCAGGAGCAATAGTAAACAGCCATCATCTTGAAAAGAATCCTGAGCAGGCAGCATTGGCAGAAGTTTGTATCAAGCAACCATGTGCCTCTGCAGCCTTTTCCACCATCATCCACAGGATGGGTATTGGGTGCATAATAAATGAATGAAAATAAAAAATGTGATGCACTAGAGTCCAGCTCACAACTCCGTCATGTGATATGCACCACAGTATCACTTACTGATGATGAAATTCATAAGAAACTGTTGGAAACAAAGAAAGTGACATAGATGACTGACATTAATAAAAACCATGTAGAGGAATCGGATAAAAGTGATACAGATATCAATACACGAGTTGCCATTCCAAGGGTAAGGCCATCACCACTGCCGGTGCGGTCCAGGTCAACACCACCACCACTGACAGGGAGTGGTGGTGGTGGGTGTTCATTATTATTATTCATCCCACTGTCAGGACACCATGTTGGTCTGTGCCTCTCTATGGTTACAGTACCTGACAAGTACTGTATGCAAATAAGAAATAGGGTAGAGATGATACAATTTTTTAAACAATGTTTGTGCTCAAACACACTAATGTATTTTCTGACTATGCTTTTTAAATTGCTATATTTATCATTACAGTTACAAGAAGCTTTAAATGTCTTGCATTACACTTACTGTATCCTGTTCAATCCAAAACCAATGTGTTCCCGTGAGAACATAACAGGTTTCTGACCAATCTCAATCATTATCTCTTTTGTTTGAGCCACCACATTCTTTGAAGTCCATGGAGCCGGCACAACCTCTACCATAGGCACATAATATGGAGGGTTCACCTGGGAAATTAAATATATATTTAGAAATATATTGTTATTACTCATTGTATTACAGCAGAGTTCCATTCAAATGGACTAATTAGCTTTTTATCCCTTCCACAGCATCAGAAATTTTCTAGTTCTTGCTGTTTTATTACATTTCTTTAAATGCAAAGATACATGGAGAGCCTCAAACTATCTAGGGGGTCATCTCTAAACTTGACCTTCTGAAAAAACAGAGCCGCAGAAAAATGCAAGGGCTCAGACAAAGGGCTCAAAGAGCTGGCGTAGTGGCAAGATGCTCGCCTGGCGTTCCGCGAGCGCATTGTCCTGGATTCGTATCCTGGCCGGGGAGAATTTACTGGGCGCAAATCTTTAACTGTAGCTTCTGTTTAACTCAAGAGTAAAACGGGTACTTGGTTGTAAAAACGATTCTTCACGGGGGAGGGGGGGGGGGGGGGTCGCATTCCAGGGAACATAGGATTAAGGACTTGCCCGAAACACTACGCGTACTAGTGGCTGTACAAGAATGTAAGAACTCTTGTAAATAAATAAATAAATAAATAAATAAATAAAAATAAATAAATATGTTTAACAGATCTCTAACTCTGTGCATGGAGGACAGAAGAAAATGTATATATGCTGATTAGCATTGTAAATGTGTGGCCACGTCTGTGGTAAAAAATAAAATAAGAAAAAAAAAAAACGAGAGCCGCGTGATCTACAAATGGGGCTATGCAACATGTGAGCTGCAAATTTCACATCAATGTCAAAAGGTCCACTAAAAAGCAGCAAAATATCTCACAAAACCAATGGATGGATGTGTTTGTGACCAATATGTGACAATGGGATGGATACGAGTGTTCATAAGCATGATAAACACACTTCACAAGAAACAAAATTGACCTCCTGCAAGTCAGACAACGAACACCGAAGAGCAATCAGAGAGGAGACACATCATGGAGCCCAGGGGAGTACGTATGAGGTGCAGATCATGTCACACCATGCCAACATGTTAACCGAGATATATGCCCAGCGAAGAGGACCCAACCAATGGCCTTAAAAGGCATGGGTAGTGCTGGTCACAAAATCCTAGCCCACGTTCGAAGTGTGAGAGTGTCCTCCCACACTTAACCGAGTGAATGTGGGAAGAAGGATGTGCTACTGGATCCAAATCCCCTCAAAAACCCTTTAGAGGAAAAACGGCAAACAAGAAGCTGGTGCAGGGCAAACAGTCTGCGCCCGCCGGTTGGTCTCGATGAAGGTGAAAGGGACAAAACCGGAGAAACCAAAGCAGAACCCAAAACCAAACCTTAACCAGGCAATAAAGCATGCAGGCAAAGCACATGCTTCTGCACAACTACACGAGCATCAGCAAGAAACCCGGACACTCACCCCATCACCAGACAAATACAAAAAGCCAAACAGAGCAGGGCTTTCTGCGGCAAGGACAGGGTAGTCAATTGAATCTCAAACAAGAGTCAGACAGGTTCGAAACGTGACGGAACCAACTGGGATTTCTACTAGGAACTTTAACCTGGTCAGCTAGGAAAAAAACAAATTCTTGGCTTGCAGACATGTAAAGTGGCTAGGGGTCCAAACTAGCCTGTCATCTAGGTAAGTCAATGTCATGGGGAAATATATTTATGAGATGTTAGTAAGAGAACATTTTAAAAGTAAAATGTCAATTATAATTCAAATGTTAAAACACACGATGGAATTCAAATTATGTTAAATTAGGAATTTAAACAAATCTTTTAGATACATGCATTACACAGACTTTAAACACACATGAGGGCATAATACTAACATTATCATTTACTTATGATTTTAACAGCTCTCTGTACGAAGAGAGTAAAACTGAGGTAAACATGTCACAATGAAGGTCGGTACCTCACATCACCATCCCCACACACACACCATCTGTTACAAGACTCAGGCCTACTCTGAGGAGTCATTAGGTGCACGAGAATGTAACCCAAGGGTAGGGAGGCTACAGTTCCATATAAAGGAGCTCGGTGCTCCAAATAAAGCATGTTGTGCAGTTTGGTTCGTTCTCAACTCACAATCCGGAATCCTGGACAGAACAGAAATGATTGGGAACATTTCCTATCACATAATGCATAATGCCTCTGTTCACCTAGCAGTAAATAGATACCCAGAAGTTAGTCAGCTTGTTGTGGGGTTGCATCGTAGGGAATGTTAGTAATTCGATCTTCGGGGACCTCAATATACGTCTAACATACACACACACATACAGGCTGCCTGTCTCTGCCAAAATTAAAAAGTTTATGTAACACATCTATTATAAACACAGGTGCTGGACACAATGGCACTACACTCACTCTACCATACACCATTCTCAAAAGAATTACATTTAATTTACAATATTCACTGACAATATACAGTAGTGAAATTAATAAAAATATAATGCCAGTCATTACACAAAGATGTGGACTTTTCAACAACCGAAGAAGTATAACCACAACCTTCAAGAACCTGGTCAAAATTTGGGGGTCACTGTATACATTTACTTTTTCATTACTGTAGAGAATGATCAGATCAAGAGTACTATCATCTCCAGTTGGCTCAATTATCTATTAATTTAATTAATGAAAACTTGTTTCTCAGTCTCACTAGCTATCTGCTGTGTGCTTGTTGGTCTAAGTTACTTCTGGAGTTTTTCCGGTACATTATTATTATTATTATTTACAAATTTAGTTGGCTCAAGTCTACAAAGAGGATAATACTCTGTAGATAGTTTTCTAGTTTTTCTAGGATGTTCTTGATTTTTCCTATTTGCTTTCTTACATTTGACTGATGCATCCAGAAGCTTACATATGATAGGTATAAAGTCCGTTTTCAACTTTCATTCTTAATGTGTCAAACATATTACTGTATTTGAAGATAACGTTCTGTGCACAAAAGTGTCTTCAACATACAGACTTATTCGTCCACGAATCCTATTTACTCGTTTTACATCTATAGATATTATAATTTGGAATCAAACTTCACAATCATGCAATCTCTAATATGGGTTTCGGTGAAAGCTCTAAGGACTGTATTTGCCTTTGAAGAGACTATTTATGAAAGTTACCTGATATTTTCACTAATTTTCAACCTAGTATGTAAAATAAACCTAATACTGAAAGTAGTAAATCTAAACTAAAACTAATAACCTAAAACCCTAGTTAGTAGCAATAAATCTAATGACCAGAGTCAGGATCATTGGTTCATTTTGAGGAATGGGTGCCCACCTTTGGCCTTGTACATTAGCAAATATAAATGAAGTTACAGAAGAGCCGTCCCATCCCAAATCCTTACCCCGATTCCTTTTGAGTGCTATATAGTCGTAATAGCTTGGCGCTTTCCCCCGATAATTCCTTCCTTCCTTCTGTCTTATTTGAGGTTTTTGGAGGTACAGTACTGTACTGAATTTGTTCAGTACAGTACTGTACTGACCAGTATTTGTATGGTAGTTACAGTGGTGCTGAATGTTGTAGTTGTGGAGTGTTGGGGGATTGTAGTACAGTACTGTACTTTCTATTAAGAAAACTGTCAAAGGTAAAGTGAAAGGTGAATGTCCCATAATACTGTATATCTTTTAAATTTGTTTATATAATTATGTAATTTGTTTCTTTATACACATGACACCTGTCAAATGTGCAAATTAAAAATGGTGGCAAAGATGATTATGAGTTTTTGTACAATGTTTGTCCTCAAATACTGTACTCAAATGTATCTTCTCACTGCATGCTTCTCAAAATCACAAGATTTGTCACCACAGCTCAATGCTTTAAATATCTTGCATTACACTTACTGTATCCTGTTACATCCAAAACCAGGTTGTTCCCGTGAGAACATAACAGGTGCCTGACCAATCTCAATCATTATCTCTTTTGTTTGATCCATCACATTCTTTGAAGTCCATGGAGCCGGCACAACCTCTACCATAGGCACATAATAGGGAGGGTTCACCTGGGAAATTAAATATATATTTAGAAGTACTGTTTATTTTTATTACCTGTACTGTATTATTACAGTAGAGCTTCATTCAAATGGACTACAGTAATTAGTTTCGGACCCTAATACAACATTTACAATTTTCTCGTTTTCTTTACTTTATGCCACAAATGCAAACAATAGAATATGAATTGTGTATATTTTTATACTTTAAGTCAATATGAAAAGCATCATTTACAGCAGAGAAACTCCACTGGTTCCAAAGATAATAATTCACTACATCATGAGAAGTACTTGTACCAAGTACAACTCTTCGATTCTAAGTGTAATTTTGTGTGTGTTCCCTGGTCCAAGTCTGGAGTTCCATGTACTGTAATTAGATCCAGGAACTAACCCTTGAACACGTGTCTGATATAATTATACTCATTAAAGAAAGTAAATTGTCCCTTAAGGAATCAAACCACAAGTTTGCTGTATGTAAATCTCATCTCATCTGCCTATGTGGAGTCAGAGGTAACGTAAGATCGAGGTGGTGAAGTATTACCGTTGTACTTGGGGTGGGGGAGGGGATTAGGGTTAATAAATTATATTAAAGGTAAAACTTCTGCTGGAGTATTCATCACCCATCTTGCTAAGGGTTAAGTGATCTGCTTAGTCAACAGACCATATTTATATAATTACTTTCTTTGGGATTTTTTTTTCCTGGGGCCTATTCTAACCCCATAAGGTGGTACTCTAGTACCCTGTTATTACCCTAACTCAGCCCCCACATGTAACAACCTTTAACACACAACAAAATTTTGCCAGCTTTGTAGTTCATCAATTATGTAACTTAGCTAAAATAAAACACGGGTTCAGTTCATGAGTCCAATATGTGCTTCTGTAACCTTTCCACCACTGCTCACATGATGGGTATGATGTGCATAATAAAAGGTTCTACTTCAGTAACATTTAGCTAATTCAAGCTGTCAGATAAAGGAGTTTTAGATAATCAGGGCTCAACCCTATTTTTATGCCTACCCTTTAATAATTCCAACAACTCTCATGCAATAAAGCAGAACCCCCCATGCAAAATATTACGCTTCACTTCCAATCCTGAAATCTCTCATTGAGCATCACTTATGTTATGAAATTGGAACTTTGGCACACCCTGATGTTGCCAGATGGGACCCTTTCTCATTCAACATCACTGATGTTGCCAAGCAGGATCTCTTGCACTCATTACTAATGTTGAGTGGAACCTCTTACACTTAATATCACTAATGTTCCAAGATGATTATCTCCATGTGAATGTGAATACACCCAACTCCTTTTCAGCACTCCACAACTATGACCATCAGTGTCTATGCTCAATAATCCAAACCATACGGAGTCCACCCACATTCAAGTTAGACAAACTTTCAGCTTAGTCGAATTTCTTACCAGGAAAATCCAAAAATTAAAAAATTGGCAATTTTTAGTACCTGTACCAGAACCTGGTACCCATGCACTCAGCCATTTACAGTACTCAGCATTCCCATCATTTACCTATTGATTACTGCTGTTTAATAGAAAATAATAAACATGAATTCATTCAGATTATCAGAAGATTCGAGTTACAAGGATTCAGATTACCAAGTTCTAACAGTATTTGAAGTGTCTCATATTATTATTAAAGTAAAATTTCTGATACTTACAGGGTGAGATACAATGAAGTTTTCCTTGTGTGTCAAGTCTGCAGATATTTTTGAAGGCACAATACATGATGTGGAGGTTGACAAAATAGTTTTGGAATCAACAAGCTCATCAATCTGTTTAAACACCTGTTAAAGAAACCTATGATTATTTTTTACACAGTAAAACAATCAATATAATTAATTATTGGGAAAACTAATGCAAATTTTGTTATATAAATTTGAAAGGTAAACTTCAAATTAGTTTTATAATTTAAAACACTAAGAGAATTTAGTCATAATCTTCAGCTTTTTGCATAGAATCACTTGCCTTCTTCTTTAATTCCAAGTCCTCAAAGACAGCCTCCTGGACAAATTTGGCTCCTGTCACACATTCCTCGAGAGTTTTTGCACCTGCAGTATACAAAATACAATAGTCTTATCATCTGAAGTTAGTGATTCTAAAAGGTGTCTCAGATTATTCCATTAATGTACAAATACAGTATAGTAAATGGCATGTTTTGAACAATAGGTGGCATCATAGTTCCACATAGTCAGGCACATAGATACCACATACTGTACTGCATACATAATTTAACATGACAAAACATAGTAGTCACAGTGTGAATGTAATTCATTCACACTGTGACTAAGAGAGCTTATGACACTGGGCTCTATGTGAGGGAGTACTACATCACTCAAACTGAGAGCAAATACTGTATAGATACGTATATTTTATAATGGCAGTGAAACAGCTGTCAAGCACCAATTGGAGACCAGAACCAAAATCCAACCTCAATTGAGCCATAGGGAAGTAGGGATACTAGATTAACCACAATACCAAGGGGAAACTACCAGAAAGGTAGAGCGCACCAAAATAAGCAACTGGTTGGACAACATTTGCAACTGCGATTTGAACTATGCACAAATGTTACCTATCGTACGTTACGGCTCGTGATCCTACAGCAGCCAAACTTTAATAAGTCTAGGGATACGACACAACTGCTGTTCTCAATAGCGAATCACCAGTATAACCCCTTAATGGGTAATGAGCATAAAATAGAATCTTCATAGGACTGAAGAATAAAGATACTAAGTATATATATATAATTTATATTAAATAAATCTCAAAGGCAAACAGATGATTATATGGTCACAATATATCACATTAAAAATATCACTGTAACTTCCAGACATTAAATCAATACTAAGAATAATTATATGGCTAGAATAAAAGAATGACTTAACTCCAACAAGTGTTATCTCCCCGGTTTCTGCTCAGCTACTGAACTCCAATATGAGAGTCAAAAAACACATTGCCTTGCCCCGCGAATAAATTGCCAAAGTTACAATTATTAATATTTCAACAATGGAGCACTACATTGTGACAAGAGTAATCTTAAACTAACTTAATGAATAATTAGTACATATTGATATAGACAACAAAAGTACGTGTTTCTTTACATAGTAATTAAAATATGCATACAGAATAGCATAATGGCATGCACACCCCAGCAACGGACGATCCCACGACAATTTGCCAGATACAGTTCACTCAATTATTATTTCACTCTGTTACCCACTGATGATCACATATAAATCATTAGTTCCCGTGGGAAAACTGATCACACAAAGAAATAAACAATCATTCCCACGATACGCTGGGCCTAACGCCAACACTGTAACATGAATGTGCATTTGCATAGAACATATAAGTATAACAATATACATGCTTGTAATTTACATACAATTATAAATGTACATATTAATATATTCACTTACGTATCTTATAAGGGTACGTAACACTTCCACCTCCAAGAAAAAAAATGCAATGGATTGAAGATCAATGGCATTTTTTCAGAAGTAAAAATGTTAGGTAAAAAGAAACATTTCATTTATGGTACATCAAAACTTCTTGACAAAGCATCAGCAATAACATTTTGTCTGCCTGGAATATGTTTGATTTCTACATTAAATTCCTGCAAAAACAATGACCATCGCAGAATTCGTTGGTTCTTGACTTTCATCATATTTATAAAGATAAGGGGGTTGTGGTCTGTAAATACTAACACTTTATTTCCTGATAAGTAAATCTCAAACTTCTTGATTGACAATATAAGACCCAACGCCTCCTTTTCTACCACGGAATAATTTCTCTGAGCTGCATTAAATTTTCTGGAATAGTAATACACAGGATGCTCAATCTGGTCTAAACCAACTTGAATAAGCACAGCACCTATCCCAACATCTGACGCATCAATGTGTAATATAAATGGTTTATCAAATTGGGGACTAGCAAGAATAGGTGAGGTGGACAATATGCCCTTTAGGTTCTGAAAAGCATTCTGACAATCTTGTGTCCACTGAAACTTTACTTGCTTGCGTAACAAGTTTGTCAAAGGAGCAGCTACTGTTGAAAAATTTCTACAATAACGCCTATAGTATGCACACATACCAATAAACCGTTGGACTCCTTTCTTATTGGTCAACACTGGGTAGTCCACAATGGCTTGAATCTTATCTTGTAAGGGGATAATCTTACCTTGGCCTACCTCGTGGCCAAGATAAGTTATCGTACCTTTTGCCCAACTACACTTATTCATATTTATGGTTAACTTTGCGTTTTCTAACACTGTAAACAAGTTCTTAAGGCCTAAGAGATGATCGGCCCAATTCTTACTGTACAAAACAATGTCATCAAGGTAGGCCCTACAATCTGGCACATCCTTGAGTAAGAAATTCATAAGTCTTTGAAAAGTAGCAGGTGCATTTCTCAAACCGAATGGCATGACATTAAATTCATACGCACCATCAGGTGTAACAAAAGCAGTAACCTCTCTAGCATACTCTGTTAATGGAATTTGATAATACCCTTTTGACAAATCAAGCTTACTTACATATTCGGCATGACCTATGGACTCTATACATTCTTCCAACAAGGGTAAAGGAAAAACGTCCACTGTAGTGTTCTTGTTCAGTTTCCTGTAATCCACGCACAATCTCCAGGTTCCATCTGGTTTTGGCACTAACAAACACGGAGAGCTCCAAGTACTTTGACTTGGCCGAATGAAATCATGCTGGAGCAGATATTCCACTTCTGCTTGCATAATTTTCCTCTTTTCGGGATTCACTCGGTACGGATGTTGTCGAATGGGGGTGCTGTCCAGGAGCTGAATGTCGTGTGTGATGAGGTGGGTCTGGGTAGGAACCTCCCCAAACAGAGATGTATGGTTGTCCAGCAGAACCTGGAACTCATCACGTTGTTCCTCCTGTAAATGACATAGCATCTCCCTGCCATTGGAACTGGAACTGAGAAGTGGGATATTAACATCATGTCCCTCACTACAATTATCCTCAGGTGGTAACTCTTCCCGACTAAAACAAGCTACTACACCAGGTCCAACATAAGCTTTTAATCTGTTAATGTGCACAGTCATTTGGGGTTCTGAAAGATTAGGGTTAATTAGTTTATAAGTTAGGTCTCCCACCTTGTCTACCACTTGGTAGGGTCCTGCGAACTTATGGGACATGGAAGTCCCCATACGAGGTTTCAACACCAACACCAAATCTCCGACATCAAACGACCTTAGCTTAGCCTTGAACTTCTTGTCATATCGTACTTTCATGGCTTGTTGAGTCCTTCCCAGATGTTCTTTCGCCAACTCACGAGCCCGACACAACTTAGCCTTGACCTCGCTCAAGTACAATCCGCTCTGATGAACAGAGACATCTCCCAACAACTTTTCTTGTAGCATTTTAAGAGGACCTCTTACTTGGTGACCAAACACTAGTTCAAAGGGTGAACAGCCCAATGACTCTTGTAGCCCTTCTCTAGCAGCAAACAACACAAAGGGGAGATTCTCATCCCAATTACGTGGATGAGTTTCTCCTGTTGTCTTCAGCATTTGTTTCAAAGTCTGGTGGAAACGTTCAAGTCCACCTTGGCTTTGTGGATGATATGGACTGGACAATTTGTGCCGAATCCCTCGGGATTCGCAAAAAGTTCTGAAAACTTTAGAAACAAAATTTCCCCCATTATCACTCTGAATAACTCTAGGCATTCCAAACAACGAAAAGAATCTTTCAAGACACTTGATGAGATTATGAGCCTTGGTATTCCGTAGAGCATAAGCTTCAGGAAATCTAGTAGTCATACACATGAGAGTGAACAAAAACATGTTACCCGATTTAGTCTTAGGTAAAGGACCCACACAATCAATTACAACATGAGTAAATGGTTCATCAGGAACTACAATAGGTTGCAATGGTGCTCTAGGTACAGATTGATTTGGTTTACCAACAATTTGACAGGGTATACAGTTATGACAATATCTGACCACGTCTTTCTTTAACTTTGGCCAGAAAAAATATTTACTTATCTTATGGTACATATTCGTGATACCTTGATGACCTCCCATGGGGTCATCATGTGCAGCCTGCAGGACCTGCCTACGATAATCATTGGGGACAACGAGTTGGGTTCTAATCTCACAATCCTCTGAAGAGGGAGTTCCCTTGGGTCTCCACCTTCTCATCAGAAGTCGATCCTTGAAGAAGAAACCCGTCCCTTCCTCCAATGCATCAATATTATCAGGAGCCTCAGAAATACACTTACTTAAACTAGGATCAGTAGTCTGTACAACACTTAAGGGCAATGACTCAGACTCAGCAGCGAGCGGGCAAGAACCTAGTAGCTTGATCTCTTTTCCCGATTGATCGGAATAAAATGGAGTCATAGCTACTTCGGCCTCACTCTCGACAACTGGCGCACTGGAGACAAGCGGGCAAGGTACAGATAGTTCAGCCTCCTCACCTTCACTTTCCTTGTGATTTAGGTTCGGCGGGGCTTCTACTACGGCCTCACTCTCATCATCCAGTCGAGTCATAAAAGAATCCTCAAGATCCACCTCCCACTCCTTTACTGAAGGGGTCCTGGTCTTGGGATCAGCAACCTTAGTGAAGACAGGATTACTCTCACCTGTTTTTCCCATTGATCTAGTAACAACACAAGCAGGGTAAATAATATCATCATCTGCTTCCGGTTGAGCTAATACATTATGGGGTTTAGTTAACATGATGGGACACTTGGGCCCTACAACCATTTGGTTGCCAAAATCATTACCTAGAATAATGTCTACCCCAGGAATGGGCAGTTGTTTACTTACACCAACATTACACCATCCTGAAGTATATTTAGAATCAAGGTTAACTTGCAATAAGGACACTGGTTGCACACTTCCGGCAATACCCTGGAGAAGCACAACTTCACCCAGATCTCGGGTGTCAACATCATCAAGTACCTTCTGGGTAATAAGAGACTGTGAAGCTCCAGTATCACGGAGTAATTGAACAGTCTTATGTCTACCATTAGTACATAATAAGGTACCTGTGGACATATAGGGTTTGAATTCAGCCATCCAATTGGGACTGACTGTAATACATGAAGAATTAATAGGTTGCACTCCTTTACTCATAATAAGACCAGTTGGTCGGAGTTCAGGATGCAAACTAAAACATGAAGAAATCACATGCCCCCTTCTCTTACAATGGGTACAATGTTTGACAGTGGACACACTGGTATAACCAACTGCCGGTTTAGAATTAGCATTACTAGGCTTAGATGATCCTGGCAATGGAGTAACCATCTTAGGGTTAGTAAGAGAAGAGTTCACGGGAGTAACTGTCGCACCAGGAGGAGACTTATACTGATAAGGAGTACGGTGAGCATTGAAATTTACTCTACGACTAGACTTAGGTGAAGTGGCCATAAACGGGGCCTTAGTCAGCAACTCATGCTCATCCGCGAGCTTTGACAGCTCATCAATATCGGTTACATTCTTTTGTTCTGCCATAAAAGTAGACAACTGGTCTGGAAGACAGGACAATACTTCTTCCATTATGAGAAGATTCTTTAGAGCATCAAAATCAGTGACTGCAAGTGACTTTAACCATCTGTTGCAAAAATTCGTCTTCTGACGAGTAAAATCGGCTATTGTCTGATCCTTGATTCTCCTTAGGTTCCTGAACTTTTGCCTGTGTGCCTCTGGATTTAGTTGGTATGCATTGAGGATGCTTTTCTTTACAAAGTCATAATCAAAACTATGAGCGTCAGGGAGGGATGTGAAAACCTCCTGACTACGCCCCTTGAATTGAGACTGCATAATGGCTACCCACTGATCCCTTGGCCAGTTCATACTGATGGCAATTTTATTAAAATGTGCAAAGAAAACCTCAGGATCTTCCTCATTGAACTTGGGCAACTCTATATACTTATTCATCCTGATGGGATTATTATCACTATTTGTTGAAACATTACTAGTATTTCCATGCCCAGCTGCCATACGCTGTGATTCAAGCCTGAAGTTAGTGTCAGCCATTTGTTGTTGAATCTCTAATTGCCTAGTTTGTTCCTCGGCTTGTTGCTTCTTTGTGGCTTCAAGTTGCAACTCAATTAAACCTCTCTGGTTTTGTGCCGCAATTTCTAAACGCCTAGTCTCCAGCTCCCTTTGCTGAGCTTCAGCCTCTAATATTTGCTGTTGCTGTTGAGCTTCAATCTCTCTTTGACGAGCTTCAGCCTCTAATATTTTCTGTTCTTTTTGAGCTTCAAGCTCTAATTGGCGAGCTTCTAACTCAAGACGCTTTAACGTCATCTGATCACTCGACTCCTCTCTTAACTCCTCTAGAATTTCTTCATCTAACTCCCCATTCTCAACAAAATGCGTCACAATGACTTTCAATATTTGGGCTTTAACCATTCTATTGCTGGCGGTCAAATCCAAATGATTTGCCATTTGTATTAACTCAGTCTTTTTAAGGTTCTGAATCCCTTCAAAGTCTGGGTGAGCCACCAACGCTGCAACTTTCTCCTCCATCGTTACTAACACTTGGCACTTGATTCACAAAATTAATTAACACAATGGCACTGCACTACACTTCACTGTAAAATTGTCACCACACTGAAAATTCGCTTGGCCTCACTGCACAAACAAAATATATAGGATGACTTACCTCAAAATCGTGAAACGTTGTTACTTGACACACAGGAAGGCTTGCTTGGCACATGGAATAGTTCTTAAGAAACACACAGAGACACTTGACACTGGTACCTAGGAAGGCAAGGTTAGATTAGCATAGTTAAGTTAAAATGGGACAATATTTCCCGGCACAGGCCCCCATAACTCTTTGTTACCTATCGTACGTTACGGCTCGTGATCCTACAGCAGCCAAACTTTAATAAGTCTAGGGATACGACACAACTGCTGTTCTCAATAGCGAATCACCAGTATAACCCCTTAATGGGTAATGAGCATAAAATAGAATCTTCATAGGACTGAAGAATAAAGATACTAAGTATATATATATAATTTATATTAAATAAATCTCAAAGGCAAACAGATGATTATATGGTCACAATATATCACATTAAAATATCACTGTATCTTCCAGACATTAAATCAATACTAAAAATAATTATATGGCTAGAATAAAAGAATGACTTAACTCCAACAAGTGTTATCTCCCCGGTTTCTGCTCAGCTACTGAACTCCAATATGAGAGTCAAAAAACACATTGCCTTGCCCCGCGAATAATTTGCCAAAGTTACAATATTTATTATTTCAACAATGGAGCACTATATTGTGACAAGAGTAATCTTAAACTAACTTAATGAATAATTAGTACATATTGATATAGACAACAAAAGTACGTGTTTCTTTACATAGTAATTAAAATATGCATACAGAATAGCATAATGGCATGCACACCCCAGCAACGGACGATCCCACGACAATTTGCCAGATACAGTTCACCCAATTATTATTTCACTCTGTTACCCACTGATGATCACATATAAATCATTAGTTCCCGTGGGAAAACTGATCACACAAAGAAATAAACAATCATTCCCACGATACGCTGGGCCTAACGCCAACACTGTAACATGAATGTGCATTTGCATAGAACATATAAGTATAACAATATACATGCTTGTAATTTACATACAATTATAAATGTACATATTAATATATTCACTTACGTATCTTATAAGGGTACGTAACAAAAGCACGGATTAAAATCAATTTAGATTAGATGTCCAAATTCACTAATAGCAATTCTATAGTGCCAATTCTAAGTGTTCCAAATGACTTTTGAGAAGTTAAAAGCATGTTCAGCATATATATATAACAAACCAAATGATCCTAGAACAGCAGGAAAAGAAGTGAAAAAATGAGTAATAACTGACCCTTAATTAACTTGTGTTGTTCTTCAGCTGATGCTTTGCCCCGCAGCAGTCCTGATTTCTGGAGGTTCTTCAACTGTTGTAAGATGTCCTCAAGTGCTGATGAAACCTATCAACATGAAAAAAATCATTAAAACTAAAAAAATAGAAACAAAAGATGTTTCAATTATAGTACAACCATTTGATGGAGATACAGTACATATACTGTACTAGTATTTTTAACAAATAAAAAATCAATCACAGATTCTAAACAAGGCAAACAATCATTACAGAAGGGGGTAAATACCCTGACTATTATGTGTAATCATTACCAGATGGCTGCTCTGGTTACCCGAGATCTTTGTCAGCCTGCCCCCCTTACTCTTCAGTTGTCCAGGGCATATCCCATGAACCCATAGTGTTAATGGGGGAAGAGAGTATAGACAGTGAGCTACTTGAGGCCCACCAGAAAAGGACATTTTATTACATTTAATGCTGGATCTCTGGGAAAGTTCTTCAAGAGGTTCCAAAAGCTTACTCATAATGACACCGAGACCAAAAGAAAACCAACAAGGAATAAGAGGTGACCGTTAGAAGGATTGATAGCAGCTCCGAGCCTAATCATCCGCTATGGACAAAACGGAAATGAATGCCATTAGCCCTTTAACCACTTAAATTGCTCTGAAGTGATTAGAGGCAACTTGTGTTGCCCCCATAATATTTAAATGTCCTGCTGGTTCTGTGTGGACATCATTCAATACTAGAGACCTCTGGGGATCATTTGTCATATTAGAAAGAATCTTTAGAGCCTTAGTTTTCTTCCTGGGCCTTAGTGTGTGCCAAAACTCATTATACACACAGAAATAACAATAGCATGATACATCAAATGAACAAATCCACAAGAGCCCGTGATGAGGGTTCAAATCTACGTTTGGGATGATCCCAGATGTGCCTTAATCGACTGCGCCACGACATGATCATGTCGACCATGTCATGCCGCAGTCGAGTAAGGCGCGACTGGGATCATCCTGGACGTAGATTCAAACCCTCATCATGGCCCTTGTGGATTTGTTCATGCTAATTATGTCTAGAGAATCATCATCCAGTGACTGAATGCCCAGCACGACCATGCTGGCGACCATTGATGCCTTGGAAAATTGCAAGGACTTTGAAGGACAAGAAAGATGTTAATGATCAATATGAAAATATATGAAAGAAGCTGCTCTAACAGCAATGAAAGTGAGACTGAGGAGTAAGGGGTAATGTGGGTGGTCATTGACACAATGTCACACTGATGACACCTACACTTGAAGTTAAAAAATGGGGCAGTTTTGTTGCAACAATATCCAATTCTGCTGAAAATCTGGTGACTAATCTCATTACTAGTGATTATGCTAGGTGAGACCATATTTTCATGCTCATGGGACATGGTAACACTAGCTTTAACGGTGGTCATGGCAATACAATCCAGCATTGAATATACAGTAATGATATGCCTCTTTCTGGTGGCTTCCTGTTGCTAGCTCCACACTTAATAACCAAAATATATGCTTTTACAATCCATTTTACCTTCTTGCATATGGATAAATATAAATAAATTAATAAAATATTGCAAGTTTTAAGTTAATATGCACAAGCATTCTCCAGATATCACATAGGAAACCACCAAAATAGTGAGAACCATATAGGTTCAGTATTTGTACTGGGGATACCTAACTGCTCGACAAATGACTTATCCCAATGAAGGCATAAAATACAGAAATGCAAAACTAATCAAGAATTAAATTAAAATTATTTATAAATACTGTAATACAAAGATAATTTGATGCCAGTCTACATACAAACTATACAAAATCTATTTATGACACTTACTTGCTCAGGTTTGATGTCATACAGATAGACTTCATAACCAACACTGGCAAAAAGCATTGCCCAACTACGGCCAATGAAGCCACTGTAAATATGAAAAAATAACATTACTATCTTTTGTAGCAATTCTGAACATTATTACAGTACTGTACTATGTTAACCGTTTCACATAAAATACAAATCCCTATTACAGAATACTTTAAGATTCAATAATATTGGAGAATATGTTATACAATGCAGCATAGCCTTGCTATCCGCAAGGGATACATTCCAGCAAAACATCGGCACATGAATTTGTGCAAAGAAAATTTTAAGTTTATATGGAAAGCCACAGTTGTGATAGCCATGATTGAAAATACATTTAGTGACAGTCATGACTAATAATACAGTCAGTGACAGTCATGATTTAGTGAAAAGTTATTGACAGTCATAATTGACGGCTACTGACAGTTATGACAGTACAGTTAGCGAGTAACAGTAGTTTAGTTTAGTTCATTTATTATGCACCCCATACCCATCTTGTGGGCGGTAGTGGAAACAGTAGGTGGAAAGATAAGCATAATTCTGCAGAAGTATCAATAGACTTAAACATGATGCTACAGAAATATGGAACAAACAAACTATATGGTTCATCTTATGGTGTCCCCATACTCAGGAACAGGAAACTAGCTAGGTATACTGAGCCCCCCCCCTCCCCTAGGCCTACTACTGACTAAGGGCATAACACACACCCATGCCCCAATTTTTTTAGAGAATATGTTTACTGTCAGGTGAACATAAGGAAACATGTCAAAATGTCTCATCCTGACTGGGACAAACATATCAATTGTGAACTCTCCACATATGTCAGTTGCCTAATTTAGAAACTGTACTTGTGGTCGATCTCGAACTCATTGTTGACGTGACGACTTATACTGAATTTTGTAATAACTCATCAAGATTGTAACTTGCTTAGCTAAATGAATTGTGGGGTTCAGTCCCTGAGCCCATTATGTGCCTCTGTAACCCTTTCCACTACCGCCCACAAGATGGGTATGGGGTGCATAATAAATGAACTAAACTAACCTGACTGGGAATCAAACTCAGTTTGGATATACATGAGGTTACAGATGTACCTGTAATGTGGCACAGCAAAAATTAAGTTTATTTACTATAATATATAGTAATGTGATATTGGCCACACAGGTAGAGTACAAGATAATAATCAAATACAAGTGTACTTAAGAACTTTCTCACCTGCCAACAATCCCAATTTTTCCTTCCTGAGACATTATTGTTGATGGTGTTGACTGTGCAACTGGCGGTTGTCTTGGTGATTCCTCTTGTAGGCTGCAACACCGAGCTTTGTGGCTGTACAGACGTCACTTGTCCCCGGGTTAACTTATATGACTTGCGGTGGATAACCAGTTTGGAACATGTCCCCGTGGTGTAGTGGTATGACACTCGCCTGGCGTTCCGCGAGCACTTTGTCCTGGGTTCGTATCCTGGCCGGGGAGGATTTACTGGGCGTCAATCCTTAACTGTTGCTTCTGTTCACCCAACAGTAAAATGGGTACCTGGTTGTTAAACGATTTGGCGGGTTGTATTCCGGGGAACATGGGATTAAGGACTTTTGCGAAACGCTACGCGTACTAGTGGCTGTACAGGAATGTAAGGACTCTTGTATATATGAATAAATAGAAATTAATAAATGTGTGGTGCCCCGGCACTTAAAGAACTCTTGACAATAGTCAGACCCAGGTGTCACGTGTTCAGGCTGTGTCCAGACGTCCACACGTTGCTAAGGCTGAACCAGGAGTCGCCAAGTCATCTGTTGCTGCTGCTGTTTCTGGCATGAAGGCCACCGACCCGACTAATGTGACCAGCAGTCTGGGTTATTTTAGTGTTGTGTGGATAGTGTCAGTTTCGTTGCTGCCGTTATAAAGGTTACGTTTTCTATGGTTGGCAGTCAGTGTGATCTTGGTATACGTTGTCCCTGCTTACCACACTGCCATCATCTATTTACTGATCTTGATGTGGGGATAGGAAGCCGGCGGCTTGTCAAAGGTACCCCCCCCCCTACATTTCTCCTGATATTATCCAGCTGGATTTTGAACGGTGACTGGTCGTTCCGTACACGACACGTTTCGTCGAAGTTCGTTTTCCGTTTGTTAAAACCGTATATATTATGCTAGGCTGTATTTAGCTTATGTTAAAATGTATTGAGCTGACGTGGGTTAAGTTCAGCTAGGTTAAGTTAAGTAGGTCTCAAAAGACGCTGGCGAATCGTCTTGTGTACAATATGACTTTGTATCCTTTTAAACTAGTCTTACATTTACGGCACCGGCAGGTAGGCGGTTCCATTAGTTTGAGTTGCCTACAGTGTGGCCTGGAGCCGTTGCTCCTTGTATGCGTTACATTTGACCTATTAAAGAAGTGGTCTGGGTCAATATCCTCAAAATTCAGTACTTTTAGCAGTTTTTTGGCTTGGAAACTTCTGACTCTTTGACACGAGCGGAAAATCATCAGTAGAGAATCTTTGGGTAGAGGGAGCCAGATGGAAAATCTTTAGGTAGAGGGGGAGACAGACTGATAATCTTTAGGTAGAGGGGGGCAGATGGAAAATCTTTAGGTAGAGGAGGCAGAGGTGGAAAATCTTTGGGTAGTGCGGGTCAGGCAGGGGTGAACGCTGGCATGCGGCTACATAATTTCTGATAAGCATGAGAAGACATTATTCAAAGCTACCGCTCGACACTAATGTTTGTTTTCGACTCTCAATCTGGAATCCCGCGTTCGTATCCCATGCAGGGACCGGAATAGATGGGCACATTACCTTTCACCTAATGCTCTGTTCACCTAGCCGTAAATAAATACCAGTTAAACACTTTTTTTCACTTGCATCCTGGAGGGTTAGTAATTTGACCTTTGGAGACCTAGATATAAGCTTAGCATAGATGTATACAGTACATACACAGGTTACCCGTTCACGACAAAATTAGTTAAATTATAGATTACACAATGATCACAAGTAAGGTTTTTAACATTCAAATGTATAAAATGCTACTAAACGTTCTCACCTGCCAACAACCCCAATTTTCCCGTCCTTAGGCATGTTTGGTAGTGTTGGGAGAGCTACAACCTGGCGAGCCTCTCACGTCCACGATGCTGTTTATCTGGTGCGCTCCTCTCACCACAGCCTCCCTCATATAACACACGCACCACCCCCCACCCCTTATGTAACCTCAACCTCCCACCTCCTTATATAACTCCACCCCCTCACATATAAATAAGATGAGTTATATATTTTATTTATATATACATTCTTGTAAAGCTGCTAGCACAGTGTTTCAGGCAGGTCCTTAACCCTAATTTTCCCTGGAATACGACCTGCCAAATCGTTTAACAACCAGGTACTCATTTACTGCTGGGTGAAAAGAGGTGTACAGTTAAGGATTGGCGCCCAGTCAATCCTCCCCGGCCAGGATATGAACCCAGGGTAAAGAGCTCGCAAAGCCCTGAGCAAGTGCTTACCACTACGCCAGCTCACGCTACCTCATATCATCCCGAATCCCACATTCAGGGATGGTAAACAGTGCCTCACAGGTTTAATAGAATTCTATGACAAGGAGACAAATTAGGCAAGAAAGAGAAGGGTTGGCAAGCTGCATTTTACTGTCAGAAAGCCTTTGACACAGTGATATATAGCGTACTTCCACAGATGGTGGCCCAAGAGCTTACATCTATTTTATGGAAACAATGCCCACAATACATAATTCCATGATGAAATAAAGACCCCTTCTCCACAAAAAATTACCTCAAAACATGTACACAGCCATACACAAAGAGCTCCCTGCAAAAAATGAGAGCAAACTTGACTCAGCAGATACTAATCACTCACATACAACTTGTCAGAAAGGCAGACAGCCCGCTTGCTTGTTGTACAGTTGGCATCGCTCTCGACTCACCTGGAATCTTGAGTTCGATTCCCTGGTGGAATGTAAATGGTTGGGTAAGTTTCATTTTACCTAATTGTTCTATTCACCAAGTAATAAATACATACCTGGGAGTTAGTCAACTGTTGTGGGGTTGCATCCTGGGAAGGGTCAGTAGTTCAACCATGTGGGACCTCGACATAATCTTCAAAGTAAATATATATTCACAGGCTTCCTGTCTCCAACAACCGGGACTCATCACCTAACAACAGCTGGTGACTTATCATATCTTTCAAGTGTCGGCAAAATAGCCTTCAAGTACAGTAGATAATTTACTTATCTGTGTGAACTCCTGCAAGCCCTCAATAACCCTCAATAACTACCCTAAAAAACGTTTTCCTCATCTTTTCACTACAAATATACATGGACAAATATCAGCTCCACGTAAATCAGTTACAACCACTCACTGACAGAACAAGTGATTATTATGCAGTACTATTACTCTTATTACCACCATTTTTAAAGCACCACAAGATACAAATAGGCTTACTTTCAGACTACACAGTGAATCATCTATAAACAACCTCATTAAAAGTCTCTCAAAACTGGATCAAAACTACGTAACATTTGAGACTTTTAGATGCAAGGTTAAACATCTTATTTCTTGCCTAACCATTCAGCCTCTGCCAAACATATTACACCAACACTAAATAATCCATGCCATACAGATGTTATACTTTGAGCAAATAACAAAATATACAAATATATAGGCTGGGTTTTGTTATTTAAAAGTCACAGAGGAACATATCAATACTAACCAGTACAATAAGCCAAATTAACAAATCAAGAAAAATTCCTGGAAATCAGTCTTAAACTTCCTATAGTAGTTAACAAACAGAATTCATGACACCATAAGCAACACTTTGGAAGTGGCTACTCCTCTCCACATGAAATGAATCCAGATAGTCTTCACAATACCGACATATGACAACTAGAGAACTATCTGTACTGTGACTACCACCAGAACTAGTGCCAACCAACTTACATTTTTTAATTATATATCTTGTCCACATTCATTTTGAATGGGAGCAATGATTTTTTTATTTTATTAAATTCAGAAATAAAGCAACTAAGTCTAGAAATAACACTGCATTAGTGTAAACATACACAGAATAACACTTAGATATGAACAGCAACTGACTGAAAGCCAACAAGGTGGCTTTTTATGAAAAATATACATGTACTTTTAAAATTAATGTAGACGATTTGTTTTATAGTCTTACCTTTTTGTTTCTTCTTTTCAACCTTCCTCAAAACTCCCACAGCACACCAGCTGAAAATACTGATCAAGTGTTGCCAGACCATCATTATAAAAGTAGATGCTTTAATGTGCCGTGAATGATGTCCCCATTAGTAAAACACAATCAGTAACTAGATCTGTATCCATGTGGATACCCCCACCCTTGGCTGAGAACTTACAAGTACATTAAGAGACTGCCCACACCGACTAAGTAGTGTACTCCCATTCAAACAGATCTGTTCAAGACCCATTCTGCTGCAACTATTATTTTATATAGTGTATTATAAAAATAAAATTTTGTTTCAGAACACTTATGAACATCTGGAGATTAAAATGTGACATTTATCATATTGTTTATATTTTATAATTATATGTATGAATTGACTCAACTTAAGTCATTCTGTTGCAACTAGGGTCATACCACCAGCTTCAGGCACCTACAATTCAGCACAGGGAGCCCCCATTATATGAATGTCTGCCTTATGAACATTCTCCAAAGTGCCCATATTTCTCCTAATCCACAATGTGTAAATCGATCAAGATGTCCACATGACCCACTAATGTTGTACTGCAACTCTCACTGACCCAGTCAGCAATACCATGGTCCCTTACATAATGCAAAGTTTGTTTTATTCTCAAAGTTCTAATAGAGAAAGGTATTTTCACAGCCAAGTACTGGTCCAATTAGTGTCAGCAGACTAGTCATGTTGCTGGTTTCCTTTTTTTTTGCCATCCCTAGCCATTTTCACATCTACACGATTCTTATGTTTATCCCTTCACCTATTCCCATCATTAGACTCAGTCAGCTGGGCAGTCAAACAGTCTCAGCCTCTGTGTATATCAGTCTCTCTTGTCGTGTACCAATATCTACATGTAAAGAGCTGGTCCTAGTGAAGCAGCAAGCCATCACTTTTAAGTCATTATTTCACCTGTAAAAGGCTGCAATATGGTAATAATTCCATCCAGGAAGTGGTTGAGGGATGGGGCTTGCAGACACCAGGTGTGTGAGGAACATGAGGGAAGATGTGGGGGAGGGAGCTAGAGTGCATGACAGCTAGTAACTTGTCATTGTCTTGCTATGCCAAACAGCTAGCACCAACAATCACCCGTGCCTGCATGGGTGGGTGTAGATGTAGTCTTTATGAAAGCAGTGTTAGTTGGAAGATGACAATGTTAAAAGTGGCAGCTCATAAGTCTACAGAAACCCATAGTCATGACTGGAACAAGACCAGAGAATGATTACCATTGGTCAGGCGAGGTCAGAGGGTTGGTGATTAAAGATATATACTCATGCGATGAGTTACAAATGGCTGCCTTCCAATACAGTACAAGCACAGCACTATTTCCATTTACATATTCATGTAATTAGATCTCTTCACTCAATTTTTACACACTATTACTTAAAATGTATGATGTAAATAAAGAAATAAATAATGAAAATTACTTTATTATACCTATTTATAAAAATATCTTATTAGCCTTTGGTTCAAAACAGACAAATTTAAATGCTTTGCATTAGAAGTGTCCAATTAATAAACTTTTAAAAAACAAAAAAACTACTAAGTAGAAACTTTAGAAAAAGTAACATACTGTACATACACAACTGGGTCAATTGGTCCCTTAAAAATTAATACTGCATCACATAAAACACTGCCACACATTCTCCCTTCAGCTCCTCACTGTCTGTTGTCCATTAAGGTTAATGTTTGGCAACTCCAAACTTCAAGCCTACACAGATTCAGCAAACAGGACTAACCAACAATGATGAAATATGAAGTGAATAAAATCAGATTATTTTCTAAACTTTAAAGATTTGTTTGTTAATGACGAGAGAATAAAATTGGAGGATTTCTCATAATCACACAGTACACTAAGCAGTCCTGTCCTAGTTAATGACTAGCACTGCACAACATATACACACATTGCAAGAAAGGAAATAATTGTGTGCTTCACCACGTGGTAAACAAGAGTAATGCATGAAGGTGAGCATCTATCCCAGCTTAGTTAACAGCTTTGATTGGAGATGCTGGCGAAATAATATCCGAAGCTCTCGGAACACTTCCTCCCCCAGCCAATTTTTGACACAGAATGTCTGCCGTGTGCTCTTCGAATTTTTTGTACCTGCAAGATGAAAGTTTTAAAAACTAAGTTGCTTTGATTGTATTGTAAATGGCAATAATAATAAAGTATTGAGTGCAATGTAAAGTTACAGTACTCTTTTGGATTCCAACTCGGTAGTTCCCCTCGGCTTACACACTAAAAAAGACGACAAACTAGCAATGCCAGGCCCTAACAAATCTCCCTTTCCTCCTTCCTGTAAGAACTACTAGTATAATTTTCAATTATCCATTTCGGATCATCCCACTAAATAGCTTTCCGTAGCTATCTCGGAACAACCCTCCCAAAAGAGAAAACCCTTACTTTATGAACATTATAGGTATCATTAACAACTTTGTGCATTATTATAGAGCAGCGGCATTAATCTGAATATCCTTGTTCAAATGCTATGCATCACAACAGCAAGACAGAAGAGGATGTAGAAAAAGGAACAGGTGTAAGGCCTGCCAAGCAACCCGATACTGCCACTTTTTAAGGAAAGAAACCAATATGACACCAGGATGCATACCACCTGACTCGCAATAAAAACGCTACCCGAAGATTGGCAGTCTTGAGTCAGGAAAACTAAGACAATGAACAAGAGCAGCCTGAAACAAAGAATGAATCAATGGCATGGCAGCCATAAGAAGACTGCTGCTGCAAAGTATTCCAGTCTCATTGAACATAAGGAGCAGCAGCTGGATTGGAGGGAAGTAAAGACCAATGACTGCATTCTAGGTAAATGCATCCATCACAAAACCCCCACAATCCAAAAATGGCACAACACAGATTAGAGGCTGCCAATTCCATGCAGAGGTAAAAAAGACCACTGTCCCTGTTGAAATCGGGTAGAAAATATGAGCAAATGTCCACAAAATTATTGGACAATTCCATTGCAATGGAAAGGGAATGAAATGAACCTCCCCCACCTTAGGCAATGGGCCACTGTGGCACAATCACCACAAAGATGGAGAGCACAGCTCCATGGGAGACAAATGTGCCAGTGAAACACTCTTCTCTTGCACCATGACATGCACCTGCTGAAGGATGGTGACCACTACCCTAGAAATTTCAATAGAAATTCGATTTGCATGACATTTTACAAGCCTCTGTGGTCTAGTGGTAGAGTATGCAGCTCAGCAATGCCGTGGTCGTGGGTTCGTGCCCGACAGCCCTAGTGGATTTTCCCATTATACATATCACAATTATACATATCTGTATTACAGAACTGAACCCCAAAGAGCCTGAAACAGCAGAAAAGCATCTTTGGGCAACAACAATCCAATAGGTAAACCAGTTCAGCAAAGTTCAGGCTGCCCAAAAAGCACTCAAGGTCTTGACATGAAAACCAAGACCTCTCCAGCACTAGCTAGAGATGCTGACCAAGTTGCTAAAGTGGCTGACTGCAGAAGGGAGGAAACCATTCTTCAATCCCACACCAGTCTCAGCCAAGTCAAACCTGATAAAAAAAGGTTCTTGCAAATTGAATATAAAATTTCTGGAAGCAACATTCTATCAAAACACTAGAGCCCAAATGTTTCAAGAGGTACTCCAGCCAATCCATGCACTCTGTATGGACGGTACGTGCCAATTGGTGACTGGAAAATACAGAGAAATGATCCAAGAATCAATTTAAACCCACCTGGCACACCTGAACATATTGTTATTTGTAATATACTTATTGAGAACAGACAGATCTAGAGTAAAGAGAGGCTCTAGTGTATATATCACTTGAACCTGGAAGAAGCAGGTACACACACTGCAAGTCCATCGAAGTCCAAATCACAAATGATGCTGCAGAGTAGACAGTTGATCAGGCCAAGATTTTTTGAAGACTAAACTCGCTAAAAACCACAAGATACCACATAACATGCCCAGACATCCAAGCTACTCAACCAGGCTAACTCAGGGAGCTAACAAAGTGAACCCTACCAGAAAATAAATTCATACATACAGTATAGTATAGAACAATTATATAAAAAACCAGCACAGTATTAATGAAATGTTATCAAAATAAATGCAATACAAGATTAATAAACAATGTTTAATTCTAATAATCTAATTTTTCTACGAGTTTTACATAACTAATAAAGCATGTAGGAGGTTTATCGCAAGTCCCAGCAACTAGTAACTGGCACTCCTCAGAGCCTCCATTATATATTCTCCGTCAGTCCGAGAAGTAACCACTCTGCCTTTGTTGTGGCTACTCGAGTTCTGACAGTATTGTTATACCTGACAAAAATCTATTTTCTCTTAATTATATACAAGAAAAGCAATCAAAGCAAGACTTCATAGGTCTGGAAAGTGCCCTACTTATATCAATACAAGTTTAGAGCTGAATTTACCAACCTAAACTAGATCCACAGGCTTTTCAAATTGTTAGGATATGAACATAAGTGTATTGAGCACAGAGGTACAATAATAATAGAATACTGTAATGTATACAGGTTGGTGTAATGAATACTGCATTTGAACAGAAACAAGTTGCCCCCCAAGTCTAAGTTGCAAAGTATAGGAAAAACATAAATCTCTGACCTCATTTCTAAGCTGCAAATTAAACCAAAACTTTAATCTCAAAATAAAATTATAATCTCAATAAAAATGGCTCGACAAGATACACATAGCATCATCCATAAAAGATGACCATCTCTGTTTAATAAATTCCCACTTAATAATTGCTATTGTAGATTTTTGTTTTGTTAAATTATCATAAGCACAAAGCTTCCAATGAAGCCATTTGGGCCATATACAGTATACTGAAAGGTGTACCTTACTTCTCCGTGTACACGCGTCGAGAACTGTAAGTTCCCATTGTGCTCAACAATATTTTAAATTATTAAGCTCAAGACCATATTTTTTTCTTGACAAATATTAATTTTATTTCCTCCAAATACTACAACAAAATTAAGGTACTGAACAATTTTATAAATTTCAGGAACCAATATCAGTATCAGAATTAAATTACTTATTTTTTAATCAAAGGAAATACAGTACAGTATATAGATTTTTCTTAAATTATATGTAACTCATTGGAAAATCTTTTTCCTTAATACTTTAATATTCTCCTAAACTGTATGGTCAAGAACAGACTTGTACCCTCAAGCTTGGGAGTGATGTCTATGTTTTCCCTCCCAAAGCCAGGAAGAACGCATCACATTATCATCAGGCAAAAAAGGCGGTATCATTTGCGATATACAGTATTGCTAAGGAAAAAAAATAGATTGGAATCGAAATTCCAAGCACTATCATTAATAGATGGAGAATACCTCAAAATATCTGAAGAATTAATAAGCTGCCCATATGCCTACTTCCTCTACCTACATAAAATTATTACAACAGATCGAAGGAATTTCGTGTAACTTAAAACCCTCAGCCTCATTACCAGCAACATGAACAGCAGGTAGAAATGAAACTGACAAAACTACAAGCATCTGCACTGAAGGCATCAAATAACTCACATAGCAGCCAAGTTGTCATTGGCATCCAGGACAAGAACAGGAGCAGGCAGAGGATGCTTCTTTTCCATTAGCCACTCCTCATGTAGGTTGTGAAGATCTTCCAGGTACTGAAGGGGAATTGCCTGCTCCTCAGAACGTGCACGATCCTTAATACGTCTGTAGAGCTTCTTTGGGTTCGTTCTCAGGTATACTGAAAATATCAATGTTAAGATTTGTGTTTACCGATGTTTAATCTAATTGCAAACCTCTGAACTTTCTCTAGTTTATTTATGTATAACAAGGTGTGGGCTCCATGCTGGAGCTGCATACTTAAATAATGGTCTCGCATTGGCCGTGTGTATGGGCTTGCAAGCCCCCGTTTATTCTAAAATGACATTCTTACGTTTGCTAACTTGCAATATGCTGCCAATATCCTGTTCACACGAGCTTGTGGTGTTAATGTTATAATAATAATTATTTATTATAACCTAATGATGTTAGTTATAATGTAATTTTCTCTTATTACAACTGACTCAGTTCAGTTCCTTTCCTCATTATCCCCGCTGACTCCATCTTGTTTATTAACCTGTTAAAGGCAAAACAAAGCAGGAGAATTTTCAGAGATATGCCACCAGACAAAATGCCGAGCTGACATGAATTATGAGGAGACTCAATAAACCTCACATCCAACACAGTATATGAGAAGCCCTCAAGAGAGCTATAGAGGCATGTGAAAAAATTATTGTATTGTGGTGCCAACATGGAACAAATGAAATGCACAAAGTGGTGCCAGTAGACATCATGGTTTCAGATGCATATGAGACAAAGCCTAATAGACTTTAAAACCTTTACACCAGAAGATTGAGGGTCGACAGATAGGACCGAAGAAAATATAACTAGGCCCTGTGAAAACTATATGCTATTCCTCTGAGAACACCTAATTAACTTCACTAAATTTCCTAGAGCTAAATTTGACAAATGCCTAACCATATTCAAAGCTCGTTATACTAACTTTATATAGACCTGAAATGTTACTTACCAATGAGATCAATGTCAACACTAAGGTGCTGTGTGATCATGTTGTACCACTCACAGTATACACTGTGCTCAGCATCAGACATTTTTCCACTCTTGTACAGATTCTCAACAAAACAATACCTGGAAAGGCAAAATATTGATTAAATACCATGGTTATCAAAATCCACAAGATACAATATTACATCATTAATAATTAAGAAAGTGAGATACAATACATCTTTCAAAAGTACTGAACTTTAAATTTTATAGGTAAGAAAGCACCCACGATGTTGTAAATGCTGAAATGGCAAACCCCAGCAGCTGACACACGCAAGCTATGCAAGGTTGGTGATCAACCTTGCAGAACTCTAGGTGCATTTGACCACTCTTTTCTCACAACTCAAGATATGGTTTCCATGTTGGTTTCCATTTCACCCTATGATAAGCCATACAAGTGCTTAGAAACAAAATACTGTATATGAAAAATACAAGACAAGTCTTATCTTGCACTGCACTCAACCTCAGGTAGGTGATAACCTGGATCTCTTAAATGAGCTACTGTATCAAGAAGCCAGCCTTAAGCAATAAACTAGTATATGCAATTATTTTTTTCCTTTTAGGTCAAGGTAGAACTGAACCCAATCTAGTAAGAGTGCTTGCAAAGATGCAAGCACCCTGTGACTGATGCACTAAAAGTAGTGGATTGTCTCTCAATAACATGTTACACACAACATTTGCACACCAGATTCCAGATAATGCTTGGAAAAGAGGGCAAGGATAATGATTATTTCATCAATTTCCAGCTGACTGAGGCCACAAAAGGGCCAACACCATGTTAATTTGTAATGGTCCCTACGACTGCTTAACCAATTTTACAGCTGCTGCTAAAACACACAATAAAGAAGTGGCAGTCATTTACTAAGCATCCTACACTACCAACCATAAAGTGAAGTCAGATAATTGTTACTGGCTATTCATGCACACTTGGATCAAAACCAGTTATTTTATCTTTTCCTAGTTAACAGAGAAAATATGCTCTTTAGAACACCGTAAGTTATTAAAACTTGAATGACACCAATGTTACTTACTTTACTGTATCGCTTAATATTATTACATTCCTGGTCAGGAATTAAAAAGCAAAGTGTAAGCCAGTGAAGCACCTTGTGTACATGCAATAATCATACTTAATATTCATATTCAACTTAAAAAATACAAAATACATGTACTAATTACAAATATTTCTCTAACACTAACCTGGCACTGTACAGAGACCTTTCTATAAGTTTAACAGGCGATGATGTGGACTGCAGATGCAGCTCTAGCATGGTCATCTGCACATAGGCTTGGAATGTGTGTGCCCATCGACAAGGGTCCTTGTACATCAAGTCCTACAGAGGGCAAATTTGATTTTAAATAGACATGTGATCAAAAATTAATTTGAGCACAATAACCCAAATTTCATTCTTAAATGTTAGTCACTCATACAAGTCTTAGGGTTATCTTACCTTTTGTTGGTTCTGGGGCATCAATGTCTTCACAGCCTCACGTATGAATCACAACCAGATTGATCAGGAATCCTTTGAAGGTGTTAATCATGTTCTCTTTTGAACACCATGAGAAGTTGCTAGTTATGCCCCTTATTAAGAAGCAGCTTTTTGAAAAGTCTTGGGGTCTGAGTGCTTGCTCGCTTGGCATACCTTTTGCACCTCTGCTTTTCAACAAGGTTATATACATTCTGTAATGTCTCCTGATCTGGTGTGGAGTTACAGTATTTCCATGTGCAGATTTGGAACTGCACATGGAAATATTTTAAATATTTTCCAAGTGATATAACTTATGTAAATAATTTTCAAAGTTTAAATTATTCCTTCCAGGTGCAGGCAAGAGGTACCTGCACTCTTAAGGAATAGATATTTAAACAATTTAAGTGATACCAATAATTGGATGCTTTATCGAGTAGATTCTGACAGAAAAGTATCTCCGCATATTCTCCAGCTTTGATTGGGGCTGTATATGTAATTACTCAAGATAATTACCTATCTAACGATATATGCGGTTACAGTATATGAATTGGAAAAAAAGAGCTTCGTCGAAATATACGATTTAATTGAACCCCATATCTAGACCTGCCCGGGAATTGACCCCAGGAGATACCTGTTGTAAGCCGACTGGGCTACGTGTCAAGTTAATAATATATACAGAATACCAAAAATTAGGGAATGAACTGGCAAAACCAACTCACCAGGAGGTTACAGCCTCGAACATCCCGCCATTTCTCGACGGGCTCCTGCAATACCTCAACATCATCAAACTTGGAGAAGTGCTCTAGCAGCGTCGACTTGCCACTCCCAATGTTCCCCTCCACACACACGGTGAACTTTGCCTTCGGTCCCTTCTCCAGCATCTCCAGCGAGTACGTTGGCAAGTCAATTCTAGTGAAGCGTTTGTGCACCTGCGTCTGCTCTGTGTGGACAGTATGAGGCTTTAGTGGCCTGGTGCGGTGCGCGCCAAAAACCGCACGAAAATATTGAAACACCCAATCACGGCCGAGGGCGGGAAAAGGGCCCCACACCCACCAATCACAAGCCGATACTTGAAACACACGATGCCATTCACAAATTTCATTTAAATAATTATTTGTTTCATAAACATTCCATAGTTATATGTCGAACAAAAGTTGTAGTTAATTCAGTATTTTAATATATAATAGTTAAAAAATCTAAAATATAAACCATAACTTATGTTAAAAAAAACGTTTTCACGAAAAGTCAGTTAATTTAATATTTAAAACATATATATATATATATATATATATATATATATATATATATATATATATATATATATATATATATATATATATATATATATATATATATATATATATATATATATGAGACAATGTCAGACTACGGAGGAAAATGAAACAGGAATTTCCTTAAGTACTTTCGTATATTAAATACATCTTCAGAAGGAATGTTTCCTTCTGAAGATGTATTTAATATACGAAAGTACTTAAGGAAATTCCTGTTTCATTTTCCTCCGTGGTCTGACATTGTCACATTCTTAATCACGTGTTTATTTTCGTGATATACACACACATTATATATATATATATATATATATATATATATATATTCAATTTTGATGGTAATTTCAATTACCATCGTCGAGTAAAAAATAACATAAGAAGTATTGAGAAAATTCGTGTTAGAATTATTAATCTCCCTTTTTCGGCCATATTTAACATATATATATATATATATATATATATATATATATATATATATATATATATATATATATATATATATATATATATATATATATATATATATATATATAATATATATATATATGTTAAATATGGCCGAAAAAGTGAGATTAATAATTCTAACACGAATTTTCTCAATATTTCTTATGTTATTTTTTACTCGACGATGGTAATTGAAATTACCATCAAAATTGAATATATATATATATATATATATATATATATATATATATATATATATATATATATATATATATATATATATACTTCGCTAAGATTTCGGGCAGCACATCATTATGAATGAAGTACTTACACATTTCTTGGACACTATTGATGGTGTTATCTCTAAATTTCAAGTTCAAGTTCAAGTATGTTTATTGAGACAAGAAAAAAATACATCTCAAAGGGATAGAGTAGCTTAGGCTATTTCTACCCCCCTCTACTTCAAGTCCCTCAAGGGGCGCACAAATTCAGTGAGTACAGATACACAAATCACAATACAACATTTAACATTGCATATTAATATAGTAAGTGTTACAATCATTGGGGCAAAATTCTTGTAGTTCCTAAGTATTCTGTCTATCATATCATTATCACACATCCAAACAATTTGAAGTGGTACACTACTTATTTCCTTATTTCTATGGTTATCCATAATTTGACACTTTAATACATAATGGTCTTCCAAGTTCAAGTAGGTTTATTGAGACAAGTTAAAAAAAAAAAAAATCAAAGATTAGCTTAGGCTATTTCTACCCCTTCCCATACTTCAAGTCCCTCAAGGGGCGCACAAATTCAGTGAGTACAAATACAAGAATCCCATGTAACATATCAGGTTAATATAGTACTATCTAAGAGTATAATAGTGTACATCCACCGCACTAGATTTTAACCCATTAACGCTCCAAGATAATATTCTCACTCTACTTTCATCCATGATTTAATAAAACTACCTTTGCCCTGTCTGTCACATTCCATGAGATACGAGATTTTCTCAGACAGACTCTCCCAACACTGTAACATTTCTGCTTTCTCCTCATTTGCACAACAGCTACTAGCATCAAAGGTGATCTTATTCATATCTAATTTCTTTCTTATTTCTCTATACCGTTTTACTTTAACCTTTGTTTCGACATTTGTCACTACAGAAGGTTGAACGCTAACACTACTAGAAAGTTCATTTTCCTGACTATCCTCTATCATCAATACGTCATGTTCTTCCTTACTTTCTTCAACGCACATTTCACGTCCTGTTTCACTTTCCACTTCACGTCCTATTTCACTTTCCATTTCACGTCCTGTTTGACTTTCCATTTCACGTCCTGTTTCACTTTCCATTTCACGTCCTGTTTCACTTTCCATTTCACGTCCTGTTTGGCTTTTCATTTCACGTCCTGTTTGGCTTTCCATTTCACGTCCTGTTTGGCTTTCCATTTCACGTCCTGTTTGGCTTTCCATTTCACGTCCTGTTTCACTTTCCATTTCACGTCCTGTTTCACTTTCCATTTCACGTCCTGTTTCACTTTCCACTTCACGTCCTGTTTCACCACCATCTTCACCCCGTCTACCCCCCATAGTTAATTTTTCTAATGCCTCAATCCTCTTTTCTAGTTTTTTTAGATATTCCAATATTTGAGTACCAACCTCAGAGTTCACTATATTGACCTGAACCTTGTTTCCACAAGGTTTAATTTTTTCAGCTGCATTTCCTACTTTCCCTAGGCTCGCCTTAATTGTCTCTGTTCCTTTCTCCCACACATTGTTCATAGGCGCTGTCATTGGCTTCCAACTGTTTCCTCCATGTTCCTGCTGCACAATCTTTCCTTCCTTCGAGGATACATCTATCCTGCTTGTAGCACCCGTCCTCGAGTCTCTCAGATGAGGCTTCATGCGACATAGATAGGAACCAGCATTGTGGCTTCCTCGACAATTGCAACAAGATGGGACGATTTTTTCACCGTTTTTAATCTTGACTCTACACTCTCGAGAGTCGTGTTTCTTACCACAGTACCGACACCTGGAGTCAAACTGGCATTTCCAAGCCATATGTCCCCAACGAGAACACTTCATGCATAATATGGGCTCCTCAATGTATTTTACAACTTTCCTGTAGCCTAGTCCTTGCACAAAAATTCTTTCTGGAGCCTCACCCTTTACCAAGGCAACAACCTGGCTTTGTTTTTCACCACGAACACTGTTCCTCTTTGCCCAAACAACACTATCATTGTTGAGCAATAGATAATCAGGATCCAAATAAGTTGGATACTTAAACACTATGACCTTGGTGTACATCATACCTTTTTCCGGAGTAACCATCACAATATTCTCAAACCCATCCTTCGTTAGGTGTTCCACGGCCTCCTCTGTCCCAACTGTTATATAGGGCCGGTGAAGACCCTCCTTGAATAGTGGTTCATATTCAAAAAACTCCTTAGCCAAACGAACCGTCCACTCCAGCTTTTGATGGAAATTCAGTTGACATGCTGTAGGGAACAACAGCCTCTTCCTTCCATTAGTCTGCATCTCCCGCGTCCTGCTGAGCATGTCTTCATTTTTTGGTCTCTTTGTTATTTCCTCCTCACTGTCTTCGTCTCGCTGTCTTTGAATATTTCTCCGTTTATATCTGTTTACTACTGCTTGATACGGCCTAGTATCATCCTGTCTGCCATCCCCACTGTCACACTCTCCAGGCCCAGTACAGGATCTTCCATCACCTAGGCAGACCGCCTCAGCCATTTCCTCGATACACAAAGGCACTGTATCACTGCAACAGTCGAGAACAAATTCACAACATCTAGCTGCAGCAGCCACGTGCAAACACGAAGATGCGGAGCAACACGTCCTCCTCGCATCATGCAGCAGACCGCACTTACTGTGACAGTGTCAGACCACTGTACATACTGTACTTTAGGCTTGTATAATGCCTCCCCCAAGTTCGAACAACTGACTTTTGCTTGCCTAACTCCCGGGTACCTATTTTCGTGCCAAATTTGCTACGTTTCTTCCTATTTGGTACAAAACATTGATAATATGGTACTTTTTTATAATTTCTCTGGTTTGGTAAAAAAAAATCAAGATATAAACATATTCGAATACAACAAAAATCATTATTTTATTAATTTTCAAAATTCCCATTCATAGTTTCATGGTGGAAGTGTATCAGTGGTACCTGTTACTTGTGTGTGTGTATCAATAATGACCACGTGCAAAGTTCTTGACGAGACCCTCGGATACGGTGTTACTTCTGGGGGGTAGAAATGGCCTAAGCTACTCTATCCCTTTGAGATGTATTTTTTTTCTTGTCTCAATAAACTTACTTGAACTTGAACGTAAACTTGTGTTACTTCCGCGTTAAATGTCAACACCGGTGAGGGCGGGCACCAGCTGTGACCAGTCACCGGTGAGCTGTCTTGAATGGTGGTCGTGTGTTCTGAGTTTTTTTTTTAGGTGATATCTTAACCCTCATGATGAGGGCCTCATCATAACGAGTCAGACACCAAGCCAAAACTGTGATGGTGACTGCCATTATAGGCGGGTCGGCGGCGACTTCTACGATGACAAAATTGGCAAAAGTCAAGTATGAACACAAAGTGTCTTAACAAAATAGTGTTTAATGAGCGATTTTGCGAGTGGATCGTTAAAAGTAAGAGACCAAACTATAACATTGTGTAAATACTGTGACCGTGAAATACAAGGGAATGTTACACATGTAGAAAGCTACAAACTTTGAAGAGAAAATCGTAGAGATAAGACGGTCTACCCCCACACCTTGACCACTGTCATGATGACCCTTCCGCCACTGCTTCTTTCTTACCCTGTACTGAGACAACATTGTCTCCTCTTCACATAAAAGTGAATAGTCGATCAAGTCTTAGAACTGAAACTACTAATGCTCTCTTACATGCTGAAGGTCTATTACAAGATACAGAGTGAACCAAATACACGTCACCATTCCGCTTCTGTAACAAGATCAAACAGAAATACTGGTGTACCAACACGACAAAAATGGAGAAGTGGCTACCTACTAAGCAACAGGTATGTAATACATATTTAATAATTTACTGTCTACATGATATTACATACAGTATATTGTAGTTTTATAAATACTGTATAATTCTCCTGTCTGCGTTAAATTGTAAATTTGGAAATTTTTAGTCAAATTTCTTACTTTTTAGAGTACTTTTGGTAC